ACTTTTCATACTTTAACATACATATAAGTCTATTTATCATGAGTTAAGGCTAAAACTATATTATTTACTAATTATTAACTCATGATAATAAAGACTTATCACCTCCTCCCCCCATCAATTCATTTTTAATCATTCAAGCCCTTGCTCATAACTTTACTTGATCGTGCTTCTGACCTAGTTGCAGGCCCAGCTGGCTGGTGGGTTTACTCCTTTTTCTATTTTTTTTAATTTTAATTTTATTTATTTTTATTTATCTCAAAAATAAGATTATAAAAATTGTATAAATTGACATAAAATCATATAATTAGTTAAAAAATGACATTAACTAACTAAAAATCACTTTTTACAATCTAACATAAATATAAGTCTATTTATCATGAGTTAAGGTTAAAACTATATTATTTATCAATTATTAACTCATGATAATAAAGACTTGTCACCTACTAATTTATTTGTCTAAGATTTTATTGAAATATTATAAATGAAAAATAGTGAAGAACTAAGGCTTCATGCCCATCTTATAAAAAATAAATATTTAAAACTATATTGTGAACTTCATGTCCCTTCGAGAGCTCTCACAATGGGACCACATAAATTAAAAGAAATGTCTTATTTCTATGCCTCTATTGGTGTATAAATACAACATACTTTAAGAACTAGTTGAGGATGACAAATATTGTATTGACCCTTCATCCTCAACAAGCTTATGTTTCAATCTACATACATATAATCTTATGATTGGTTAGAAATTGATAGTGACTCTAATGTGTCTACTATCTCAACACATTTTCTCATCCTATGGGCATACCAAGTAAGATTATATGTAAGCTTCTATGTCTTGGTTCAATGAGCCAATGAAAGATGTCATATAACAACAACATCATACTTATTCTTTAAGAGTGTCCTATATGTAATATAGCATGTACTCGAGTAGTATATTTTGATGTAATTTACTCATGCACAACACATACAATTGATCATTATACGCATACAACAATCTTTGCTCTCATTGTCATTAAGAAATCAAGTTTTTATGATATTTATTTTAATTACTTATTATTTTTAATGTTTAAGATAAAGATAATGACTTAATTACATTAAACATTATTACTCCAAAATTCATAGATTATCTTGTGTTTAAAAGGAGCTAGAATTTGGGTACATGTTGTCATTTCAATATAATTAAGGGTTCAAATCATGTCTAATATTCATTTACATTGTAGTTCTAGTTATTTGTGAAATCTTAATTTAGTTTACCTCAACTAAAATTGTCATGTTTTGTCTATAGTAGTGATATATCAATCACTTGCCTTTTGGATCTTCTATCAACACATCATTGATCTCCTTCAATATTGTGTTGTATGTCATTTACAAAGTTAAAATATAAGCCTCATATTCTTGACAGCTCAAGGCATCATCTATCATATTGACCTACCTTAATTAAAAATGATAGAGAAATCTTACTTTGTAAAGAAGCCCTTTCACTTGACCTATTTTGATATAAGTGTCTTCTAGGTCTTGAAGTAGCTCATCACTATGTTGTCAATAAAGATAATGAATTTGATGCCATGTTCAAAATGTTTGTAATAGTTAGATAGTCCGAAGAACAATTCAACTTGAATGTTTGGCTAGGTGCTAGTTAGTCATCAACAGTATAAATCTTTATTTGGCCCATCCTCATATCATGTTGTTTGATGACATTATCAAAGAATATAACCTCCATTAATATGAAGTCACATTTGGTGATGTTGGTTAATATTATTTGTCAATGAATTTCATCAGAACCTGTTGTAGATGGCTTATGTGTTCCTTCACTAAGATTTTGTCAAGGTACATTATGATGAATTAGTTGATGAGATTCTAGAAGATGAATGCAATCAAAGTGGAGAGTGTCATACGTGCATTGGTAAAGTCAAGAGCCATCTCCATAACTCATATAAGATGTAGCAAGTCATATATGTAGTATTTTCTTGCCATCACTTCCATTGTAGATTTGATGATAACCATTATTCAAAATTATATTAGATAAGTATCATGCCTCTTAGGTAGTTGAAAAACTATCATGTTTTAGACATTGAGTAATTCTTCTTTATCATCATTTTCTTAAGTGGCCAATTTTCTACACACAAGTTGACTGGACCATCCTCATAGAATAAGATGAAGCCTCTAAAAATGAGTCATTGGGATGTATAAACCCCACCTCTAGTAGTTCATTTTATTGTTAGTATAACATTTTAAACTATTAGTATAAATACTTGAATTGCTGTTGTAACTCATCAAGGTATGTTAGCACCATCTTGTAGGGTGCACACACTAGTGGGTGTCGATTGAGCACATTATTTTAATATTTAACTTTTTAATATTAAGGTTTTACCTATATTTTTCAACAAGAATGGATTCATTGGGAACACAAATGGCAGCAATTAATGGGATTATAATAAATTATCATGGAATTTCCAAAATCCATATGTTTTATTAGTCCACTTCACTAGTTATAGCCTAAAATTTTAATTAGTATTATCGATAAATATAACCTATCAATAGGTCAAGATTTTATGTCATAATTTTCCCTAATATATTCTATCAAATAGTTATATAAAAGTAGGTATTCTGATCTTATATATATTACAGTAAATATAAATTTTATAAACATAAACATATTATTGTGAAAAACAATTATAGTTAAGAGAAAAATAATATACTAAGTGGTTTATATTTTGAGAGGACCTAAAGTGAAAATAGGACTTATCAACAAATCACTTGGTTTATGAGAAGCTACATCCATAGCAATTAATAAAACTAAGTTATGCCAAAATTAGCATAGCTAATTAATTAAAACTAATCATCTCTCCCTCTAAGAAAAACAACTATTTTTAACTTGTCAATTGGTTCATGAGGGCCTCTAAAATGATCATAAAACATTGAATCCCATTCACTTTGTCATGTGGGCGTTGTTCAAAAATTAAGCTCTGAACGTAACAATATTTAATAAAATCAAACAAATATTTAAAAATTAGTATTAATTTTTCATTAAAAGTTATAATTAGCCTTTAATTTAGATACTAATAGTATAATAAAATGTCTATGTACAGTTTGCAGAGACGTGCGTTGACATTGACTATACGGGCTGTGACTCCATGTTGAAATTTGTGTACTTTTTTCATTTTCCCCTAAAAGAAAGTAAATTATAGCTGTGCATCCTATTCTGGACTCTTTTCTTGTGTCCGACTAAAGGGGGCTGTTGCCAAAATTAAGAAATTGAGGCCTTTAAGTATAAATCAGTTATCTTTGTAGGATCGAAACCTAAAAATCCCGGACGATTTGACATTTGGGCCGGGCCGAGAGTCAGCCCATCGTTGACTACCGACAGGGAAAGGGGAGAAGACCCCGCAAGCGGCGTAGCGGATGTATAAGAAAGAGGTCGTGACGTTTTCTGCGGGTCCCACGCTAGTCCTTTAAGACGCGCCATACCATTTTCTGTCTGCCCCGACACTGGGGAGTGCTCTCTCTGTCTCTGTCTCTCTCTTCTCTCTCTCTCTCTAGCAGGCAGAAACACTGACGGGAGGGTCAGGTGAAGCCTCCCCAGATCTTCGCTGCAAGGAGGGAGGGATCTTCAGCGACACTGTTTTTGTGGATGCCCCTCGGTGAGCTTCCTTCCCCAGCTGCTCTATCTACGCCCGAGCAACCTCGTTTTGAGGAATAGCTCTCTCTCTCTCTCGCTTCGCTCTCGAATGCCCTCCTCTTTAACTCATCTTCTTGCTTCCTTCCGGGTCGGACCGAGATCAAGAACTCTGGCTCTCTAAGGCATGCTCTCGTGACCCTTTTGTTGATGTCGCGGGTTATCCTCCGTGGGTTTGGGCCTTCTCGAGCGAAGCAATCCTCGTATCTGGGAATTTCCCCTCGCAGAATAGAGCAATGCCCCTGCTGTGGGGGTAAAAATTTCCGGCGAAATTTGGTTTCTCTGGAGATATTCTCATCTTGATTAGCTTTCTTTGACTTCGACCAGCGCGGACCGATCTTGGTCCTCTTCTGCCCCCCAATGCTCCCATGTCTACAAGTCGATAGCCGTCGAGATTTACGTTCAGCTTACATTGGTGTAGCTGGTAGGAAGCCCATTTTAGATTTTTTAGATCAGCTCGGGTAGGCTTCATCTCTCTCATCAGAAGCATCTTTAGGGTCACAGCTTGAGCCATTGGAAACCCCGCGTGCTTCCTACACCTCTTGGAATACTCCATCTTCGACGATTATGAGCCTCTAAAAACATTGGTTATTTATCAACCTCTACCTGGTACGCTTCAAGATTGCGAATATGCTTCATCTTTGGTCCCTTGGTTTCTCCTTCTTTGTTCTTCGGTGCCGTAGAATAGTGCAGTTTAGATCAGGGAATGAAATGGTCCACGCTGTAGACACTTGTTTGAGTTGTTCCTTAAGACTATATTCTCGCAGATATATGACTTTTTCTCAAGTTGGTGGTTCATCCTTCGTGTGGAGCTTCTGTTCCGTGAAGCGAGTTATTTTGTGTATTTAATTTATTTCAATCAAGTATATATTTTTTGGATTCTACGTTTAACCAGCTATTATTTCTGAAAACCCAGATCAATGTAGTGGGTTGAGCAAGGAATTTGGATAGATTTTATTCATTAATTTTTCTTAATGTGAATAACATCACTTGAGGAATTGGTGGGAGCGTACTTTCAATGGTAAATGGTAAAAATAAAAAAAGGTTAGCATATTCACTGAGTAAAATCTTAAAGTTTTATTTTTGCGATTGGAAAAAAATTGTGCCTCAAGATCCTTTTTTGACATAAACCCAGTAATATTTGATAAGTCTCTATCTGACCCTTCACACCTTCCCTCAGATTCTGTATACCATTTGAATGTTGATTTTCTGCCTCTCTGCAATTGTTCGTAAAACACAGTGGCCCAAAATAGTCATGTTTAGTGCTTTGGATTGCATGTTCTTGAGATATTTTCACGATGCAGGGCTATCGTGAGCTCATATGGCTGTTGCTGGTGACCAAAGAAACATTTCACTTGGCGAAATCACTTGTGGGTCCCTGCTGCAGCAACTGCAGGTATCCCATTTTGCTTCAGCTTTTCTCCTCATTGTTGAAATTTGTAGAGAAGAGTGGAAGACGATGTTTTTTTTTTTTTTTCTCTCAGGAAATATGGAACGAGGTGGGGGAAAGTGATGAACAGCGCGACAGGTTGCTGCTTAAATTGGATCAGGATTGCTTGGGCGTCTACCAGAGGAACGTAGATCAGGCTTCAAAGTCGAGGGCAGATCTCCTGCAGTCTCTGGCGGATTCCAATATCGAGCTTGGCAATCTTATTTCTGCTCTAGGAGAGAGTGGGGATGTTGGAAAGGTTAGTCAGATCTCATAATGTTGATTACACTAGTTGGATCCAGGCATGTAAATCTTGCCCAATGATTTTTTCATCATATTTTTTAAAAAATATATTAATTTAATTTTTTCGTGACTGTTACTGGCATCTGGTGTGTGGTGAAGGGCAGTATATAGCTTCCGTGACATTTTTGTGAGTCTCTCTTGTCTTCTGCAGCCTCAGAACTCTTGCGGCACAATAAAGGAACAGCTTGCAGCTATATCTCCAGCATTGGGACACCTGAGGAAACTGAAAGAAGAAAGGATGAAGGAATTTACTGATGTTCAGTCTCAGATTCAGACAATATGTAGAGAGATTGTTGGAATCTCAAAGGAGGATGAGCAGGAGGATACACTGATGATTGATGAGCACGACCTATCTCTAAAGAAGTTGAGTAAGTTTCATACTCAACTCCAAGAACTACAGAGAGAAAAGGTATTTCCTCCTCACTTCTGGACCCATTAAACCGTTCATCTTTTTTCTTTTTCTTTTTTGAAAGTTGTGCGATATTTTCTAAGGTTATGTATTTTCCATGTTGCCAGAGTGATAGGCTGCACAAGGTTCTCGACTTTGTCTGTACAATTCATGACCTTTCTGCCATCTTGGGGATGGATTTCGTCAGCACCATTACTGAAGTCCACCCCAGCTTAAATGACTCTGTGGGAATGGAATCAAAGAGCATTAGCAACGAAACTTTATCCAAGCTTGCCAGGACAGTTCTTGCTCTGAGAGAGGATAAGAAGCTGAGGCTGCAGAAGGTTATTGTCGTCCATTTTTGTTTTCATTCTAAAATTTTTTTTGTCAAAAGGGCATTTCTCCTCCATTTATTTTTTTCCCCTCTATTTTTATTTAATTATATCTAGTAATAGTCGCACAGGCAGTGCGATGATGGACTTGATTGGCAGTATGATTTCATTAAAAAATATGGTTTTTCCCATTCTTGGAAGCGTATTGAATTCAAGTAAAATTATTTAATATGTTGGCTGCTAAAACACTTTCATGGCTTATGAGAGTATGTGCTCTGTCCTTCAATTGAGGGTATACCTCGTTACGCCCTAATCATTATGTATGTGGTTCAAGTCCCACTTGGTCAACAGATCGATATCAGAGCTCTTTTTCACTTTTTGTTCTTTTTGATGAATACCTTCTCCTCCTCCTCGTTGACCATCTCAGGATGTCGCCAAGTCCAGAGCTTTTTGATTGGGCTCATACACTTCATAGACAATTTCTTCCCAGTTTTGTAGACATACTCTTTGAAGCATTTTCCTCAATGTGGGTGAGATTTTTTTTTTACTAAATACGAAAGGAAATATGTGTTTCTATGTTTGGTTGCTTCCTTGGGTCTAGTTAAGTTGCCTTTTGGGGTGGTGATCATCTTCGTTGTGAAACAGCTTTATCTACCTCCAAAAATTATCATCCTTCCTTGTCTTCTTCCTCGTCGAATAGATCGCTATATGTCATATATCCCATTTTCTTCATGGGATGTTATTCTGTCAATGAGGTTCAGAGTGCTGCCTTGAACAGCTCCTTTTTTTTTAAAAAAAAAAATAAATTATGGGGAGGGTATCCGTCTGTGCATGTCCTGTAAATAAGTGTGGTGTTCTAAGTAGAACAATTCCAAGTATGAAGGATATCTGCTAGGATCGAGCTTCATCAACACTCGACCATGCAAGAAATAAATCATATCGTACACAATGTGCCTGATGCATCATATATGATACTAAAAAAAAAAAATCATTTTTTTTGTTTTATCCAGCACCCATAGAATCCGGCAGTTGACTACTTCTGGTCTGGAAACCATTTCAGCTTCAAGAGTCAGCTGCACAGCTGACTGAGCTTTGGAACCTCATGGATACTCCCATGGAGGAGCGGAGACTGTTTGATCACGTTACCTGTAACATCTCAGCGAGTGTTGACGAGGTCACAGTTCCTGGAGCTCTAGCTCTTGATCTGCTGGAGCAGGTGAGAAAATTGTTTTATTTTAGCAGGGGTTTTCTATAAATAACAAAGTTCCTTGTTCGGATCCGATTTCCCTTTTATCTCAAAGGCTGAGGCTGAAGTGGAGAGGCTAGATCAGTTGAAGTCCAGCAAGATGAAGGAGATTGCCGCGAAGAAACAAGCCGAGCTTGAAGAGATATACACTCGGGCCCACATAGAAATTGACTCGGTCGCTGCCCGAGAAAAAATAATGGCCATCATTGACTCGGGCAACATCGAGCCTTATGAATTGATAGCCGACATGGATAATCAGATCTTAAAAGCCAGAGAGGAAGCCCTGAGCAGGAAAGAAATACTGGAAAGGGTTGACAAATGGATGTCAACGTGTGAGGAAGAGAGCTGGCTTGAAGACTACAATCGGGTTAGTGTGCTTTCATTTTCTGAAAGTTATCAATTCAAAAAAATCCGATAAAGACATATTATTGCTCAAACGCAACTGATAATAAATGGTAAGCAAAGTACTGATCATCAAGTAGACTAATTAAATCATGATTTTAATATGTAAATCATAACTTTTGTGATATGAAATATTTATGATCATTTTCTGAATAATATTCAATATTCTAAGAATCATGAGTAGGTAAGTAGGGTTTCATTTATTAAAATTTTTTATGGGAATTATTTGATGGAGAATCTAGGCACTGGTTCAGGCTGATTTCCATATTTGGTTATCACGTTCTGTTTCAATTCAGAGGCTGAAGGCTCTGTACTTCATTGGAGAGGGGACGGGATTACTGGGTTTTTTTCTTTTTCTTCCTGTTGTTTTGACTTTTTGTGCGTTTCGTTGACCAGGATGAGAACAGATACAGCGCAGGCAGAGGTGCTCACTTGAACCTCAAGCGTGCGGAAAAAGCTCGTGTGCTTGTGAACAAGATTCCAGGTAGAGTAGAGATCATCTGCCGTATAGATTCTAATAATGCTGCTTTCGGGTTGCTGCCGAGGGGTGTGGCCGGGCATACTTTTTTCTCTGAAGTTGACTTTGGGACTTTGACAAGTCTCTTGGGCCCTTCCTTTGAGCCACTGGTTGACTAGTATTAAGCAGATGAGCTCAATTTTCTATGCAATTTTCCAAACATTCTCTAGGATTGATTATGAGGCTCGATCCTAGCTAAAAAAAGGAAAAACAACAGGTTTTGACTTGTCTCTGGGTCTTTATTTTTTGCCACTAGGTTGACTATGGTCGATTGCTTGAGCTCTATTTTCCATGCAATTTGCCCAGCATTCTCTAGGTTTGACTTTGAGACTCGAGCCTGGCAAAAAAAAGGATGTTTTTTTCTTTACTGGTCTGTGGGTCTTTCTTTTGAGCCACCCGGTTGACTGGGTCAACGGCTTGAGCTCTATTTTCCATGGAATTTGTCAAACATGCTCCTGCTAGATTCTTCCTTTCTATTTGGGGTTAACTGCAACTCTAATTGGATTCTTCCTTTTGGGCACCTGCAGCCCTCGTTGAGGCTCTGGTCGCCAAGACGCGAGCTTGGGAGGAAGACCACGGTTTGACCTTCGTCTACGACGGCGCCCCCCTTCTGGCAATGCTGGACGAGTATGTCATGCTCAGACAGGAGAGAGAAGAGGAGAAGCGGAGGATGAGGGTAACTACTCGTCGACTTCCCTCTGGTCGCCACTGTCCTCGTTGACTTTTTTGGCATTTGCAGGATCAGAAGAAGTTCAACGAGCAGCTGAACGCCGAGCAAGAGGCCCTGTTTGGCTCCCGGCCGAGCCCCAGCCGGCCGCTGGGGGCTAAGAAGGCGGTGGCGGCGCGGGTCAACGGGAATGGGACCCCCGGCCGGAGGGCCTCTTCCGCCGCCCACGGCGCCGGGAGCAACGGCGGCGGCGCCCGGTCCGCCACCAGGGACGGGAAGAGGGATGGCTCTCGGCTCTCAGCTCCGGCGAACTACGTGGCCGTCGCAAAGGAGGACGCCGCCGCCTCCTACATCTCCGGGGACAAGCCCCTACCCGTGACCCCTTGATCTCTCAAGAACAGCTTAGAGAGCTGTGTAGACCAGGCTCATTTCTTGTGTATCGTTCTCTCTCTCTCTCTCTCTCTCTCTTCTCTTCCACTGAAGCTCTGCTGTATTTGACGTTGACTTGTAGAGGTAGGAGGCTTAGTGACCCACGTCTTGTAATGCCAACGTTTCTTCGTCATTCTTCTCTTTTCTACTCATTTCATCGTGACTAGGGATGATGGGTCCGGTTATAATTAGGAGCTTGGCCTCGTCCCGGTTGACTTTTTCCAGCCTGAGTTCTCTCTCTCTTCCTCTCTTCCTCTCTTCCTCTCTTCCTCTCTTCCGCTCTTCCTCTCATGATCCATGATCTGAGCCCCGGCGACCCCACTACGTGGATGTCTTTCCAACGACGCGTGGAGGAGCCCGCTACATGACCCACGCAGAGATTTGACCTGAATCCCGTGTATCCGGTCAATGCCACGTCAGACCCTCGCAAGAGGCGAACGGGCCCGGGCCCGCCTCGCTTCAGTCCCGTTGACGAATTTAGATCGAACTCCTCGTTTTATTTATAATATATCCCATAAAAACCATTGAATTAGTATTAGCATCCTGATAAACTGATATTACGTACATGTACCAGAAGCAATGTAAGAGAGATAAAGAGCGTCTTACAAGTATGGTGGCTATGAGGACAAAAATGTTAATTTCAAAAAAATTTGGGTTATTGTGGCACGTGAATAATATGCTGGAAATATGGGAAATAGTCATAATTAGTTGAGCTTTTGGGGATTGGGAAATTAAATAATATAATTTTAATAATACGGAGGAGCATATGGGAGTATGTTTAATAAAATGTTTCAGCAGGTCAGTAGAACGCGAAACCTTCGTACGCAAGTTCAGTACTTTAGAGAGCTTCTGCATTTGCCTCCTCTTCGTCCTCATTCCTGCCCCATCGCCCGCCCTTCTACAGTCCAGACGAGAAGAAGAGGAAAAGCCTGGTCTGAAGATGAGCAGCGAGACGGAGCCCGCGAAGGCCCTCCTCCCCTATCTCCAGAGAGCCGATGAGCTTCAGAAGCACGAGCCTCTGGTCGCCTACTACTGTAAGTTGAGCACTTTTGCATTGGATTGCGGTCTAGAAGAACCCTAGATGGAATTCTCTGGCCGCCGACCTGTGGGTATATATGTTGTTAATTATTTTGGTGCCTCGTAGGTCGTCTGTACGCAATGGAGAGGGGGCTCAAGATCCCAACCAAGGATCGCACCAAGACTACAAACTCGATCCTTGTCTCCCTCATAAATCAGCTGGAGAAGGTGCTCCCATGATAACCTTCATTGCCTGTTTGGGTGTTCTGATGGTGTATGAAATGGATTGACAATTCTAAATTTAGGGTTTATTATGGGAAAATACGAGCTTGTTCTGCATTGATATAAGATCATGTTATGCTGTTGGTTCTCTCTTTTTCAGTGTAGGCTTCTGATCGAAAATTTAACTGCATCGTTCAATGATTCATACGATTTCCTCTGCAGATGAATCAACGGGATAAACCGCAGTCCCTCTGGCTCCGTTTATTCCGACACGCTTTTTGTGCGTATTTCTAGCTGTCCGGACAGCTGTCTAACCTTCTCTCGTGCTTCTTACCGGGTCAACATCTTTCGATGCTGATACCTTTGGCGAACCCTATTGACAAAATTTCACCCCCTTCTCACAAGCGAAAAGGCCGATGATCATTGTCTCCTGTTGAATTACAAAGTAGGGCATTCCGATAGCCGCTGTTTGTTTTCTATCTGCAAAGCCAGATAAGCCTTAAAACCTGGAACAGCTAAGTTTGTCGTTTCTTTCCTTATGGGCCTTAAGCGAACCTTGATGCGCGTCTTTTGGTCAGCATGCATGCAGCCGATTTCACCAGTCTCGCCAGTGGATATTCATAGTTCGTGCGACTTTTATCCTACATGAATTATTTTCATTATTATTAGGGTATGAAATATTAGCTTGAAGTTGAAGTAGTTGTCTGGTACTTGGAACCAAGCTTCTTTTCTCTCAGATGTCTGGATAACCTGAACAAGATTAAATTTAAAACGATTCATCATGGAGTCTAGGACCAGTTAAAGTACTATATAGGGTTAAATAGTACAGTAATAGCCCATCATTGATCACATATGCATAGAAAAATAACTGCTTCAAAGACTAGTGTGAATCTGATCAGACTGGGAGTTGGAAATGCTCTTTTTGATCCATTAGTCCAAGGGATTTCTTTGCATTAGTATAGCTCAAATAGTCATGAGTTTGGCATGTTGGTATCCGCATGCCTGCGGATTATATTTTCAATTTGATGAAAGTTAAAGTAGAACAATAGAATTTTGACAAGAGATAAGGAATTATCTTTATATGAGATTATATTTTTCAAGTTTTCTCGTAATTCTCGAGTATTCTACATTCAAAACTAATGATTACGAGGTAAAAAATAATATGTCAACACATAGGACCTGCCAAAGTATTAATTCTATCAAATTCTTTTGTTGAACTGTAGTATATAATTCGATTCGGATATTTGTATGCCTACGACTATTTTATAAAATACTAGTGAACTGGTATCTCACCAGGTCGGTGCATCATATACCACTGCCAGCTGAACCGGGGTTGTATGTGTAGGGCTTTTACCATGATGACTTAATAAAACAGTTAATAAAACAGAGATCCATCAATGGTTTGAACTTTAAAATGATTCTTCCAGTTAGATTGCCCTCTATGGTATTGTTGATGCGTCCAAAGAAAATATTTCTTCCGACCACTTACTTCTTAATGTTTTCTTTGTTGACTTGGTTGATTAATACAAGCATGAACAAACATAGCCAAAAATTCTCCAAAATGGTGAGATCAGCGAGGCAAGTACTTTGTTCTCCAAATTCAAGATCCTTGTTCATTTGTTTTGGGGAGTGTTGCTGTGGAAGTGTGAATTGTTTTTGAAAATAATGTGAAATTGTCAAGTGTTCACTGTCATTGCAACTAAGTCATGTTTTAAATCAATGGTGTCTGACCGGTTTAAGTAAACGCTCAATGAACTCAGGTTTTGATTTTTATTTCAACATGATAGTTCTCTCATTCTTTCAAGTGCTGTTTAACATTGCTCCCAGAAAGTAAACAGCTTTTTTAAAGTTTAATACCTTTATTATCCATTCAATGTTTTATGTTCTCCTTGATGATGTGAAGATATTATGCTGTTGTAGGACAAGAAATCATTGAAGTTGGGTCCTGAGGACAGTTTGTATGTGGAAGGATTTGCATCAAATGTGTTTGCAAAAGCAGATAAGCAGGATAGAGCAGGGCGAGCTGACTTGTATGTTTCCCACAATCTTTGGAAAAAAATAAATCTGCCTATGCTTTAATTTTACGCATGATATTTTCTCGAAATTAATCAATTCCTTTCCTTCTCGCAGGAATACTGCAAAGACTTTTTATGCTGCAAGTATCTTCTTTGAAACTCTGTATCAATTCGGTGAACTACAGCCTGATGTACGGTCGTGATCAGATAACTTCTCTGAAATTGATATTATTCCATTGATATATCGAATCTTATGTCATCTACCTTTTTCTATTTCAGTTATCTAGATAACCCTATTGTCTTCTTGAAATGTGGATCTCAATCTTATGTGCAGATTGAGCAGAAGCAGAAGTATGCCGCATGGAAGGCAGCTGATATAAGGAAAGCATTGAAGGAAGGTCGGAAACCTGAACCAGGACCCCCAGGCGGTGATGAGGATCTCTCAATCCCCCCAACAACAGCAGCCAACGTTTATGTATGCTTCTAAACCCTTTGTAGTTTCTGGTAATTCTTTTTACCCAACAAAAAGGTCAACAATGAAAGCATTGACTTCGAATAGATGAGTCAGCCCCTTTCTTATCTCCACCTCAAACAAAGCAGTTGACTAGCATAGAAGCAATTTTCTCTTGTACCCCTCCTAAGTCACATAATGACCTCCCTCCTGGTTTCCCCTACCTTTTCTTGCTCCTATATCCCCATCTTCAGTACTCTTGTTGCCTAAGTTAGGCTCCTTGCTGAATGGGACGAGGTGGAAGAGGCGATAATCAAGTTATTAAAGAGATTAATCAAGGAAACTAGTGCAATATTGGCCCTAGTGAAGGTCTCTTGCAGCGTAGTTATGCCAGGGCCTTCCAGTGTTTGTCCTTTTCAGGAACATTACTACGAATTCTCTGGTAGATGGGATGATCCTTTCTGTTAATGGGAAAAAAAAGTAGAGTCATAGCGCTGAGTTAAATTTTTTTTTTTGATTTAAATCCTTGATTTTCAGTGCTTGTATATTGTAACTATCATTCAACTAAAATCATATGCAAAATATGAAATATCCAGAAAAAATTTCCACTGTTAGGAGGAGATTATGTTCTTTCTCTCGTGTGCTTTTTTCCTCTTATTTTGTGAAAAACTATCATTTCAAGAGAAGTTATGCCATTTTTGGTAAAAAAAAAATATCCCCTCTTAGAAACCTGAATTATTTGGGTTTTCTGGAGTGACTACGAGCAAACATCTAGGAATCAACTTTTAATGGGAATTTTGTTATTTTTGGTCAAGTTGCATTACAACTGAAAGCTTGCAAATTTTCAACTTCCTGAGCTTTCTCTTCTTCCCTTGCAGGATGTGGGCCGCCCAGAGAGCTCCCCTTTCAATCCCCCACCTGCTAATGCATCTCATCATGTAGACAATATTAATCAGCAGCATTCTCGTGAAAACTCGCCCCCTCCACCTTCCTCTTACCCGGGACAAGGGTTTCCCTCTACCGAAGCCCACCAACCCCCTCCAGCCACCCACCGGCCTGAAAGCCCGACGTATTCTCACCCTCATCTCGATCAGTTTTATCCATCCAATCAGCGAGCCACCCAGAGCATCTCCCCGGAGGACCAATCTCCACCAGGCCATTCCTTCAATGGCAGCACCCCACTGCCGCTGCCGCCGCCACCAAATTGCCCATCATCCTACGACGGCGTGCGGCCGCATGGCGGCTACCCTCCTCATGACCGATCATTTGATAACTATCCTCCCCATGACGGCGTGTCGCAGCATTACCCTTCTCATGAAGCTGCAACTGGAGTCTCCTCCCCTTATACTTACCCTAATTTTCAGACCTATCCAAGTTTTAATGACAGCAACCTTCCTGTGGTCCCTACCCAGCACCCTTCTTACTACCATGGCTCTGACCTCGCCCAGCCATACCAGCCACCTCCCCCTGCCCCAACTTACACATCACCGGGGCCAACTGATGCGAGCCGGAGGAATGGGCCACTGCCTGCGACAGTGTCTCCCGCCGCCGCCAAATATGTGTATGACAGCAGCTACCAGCCGTCTGTGGAGAAGATTGCAGAGGCACACAAAGCAGCTAGATTTGCTGTTGGTGCTCTGGCATTTGATGATGTGCCGGTGGCTGTTGATTTCCTCCAGCGTTCCCTTGAATTGCTGACCAATCCTTCTGCGGAGAGTCACTGACCAGACCCTGGTTCGGTGGCGGTGGCTATCTAGAGAAGGTGGTTTCTTCCTCAGTGTGACGTTGCTGTATAATTTGTATAGATATGGCGAGTTTTGAGTTCACTTGTTTGTAAGCTTTCTGTGGTCTGTGGGAGGTATGAATAAGCCGAATGCTCGTTCCCATGGGGGAATTTCCTGCTGCTTCTCTGAGAGATTTGCTCTCAAAAAACCTAGATTTATTCAATGAGAAGCAAAGCCCGGCAGCGATCTCCGGTTTATACATTTTTTTTTCCAGTTTTAATTCTTCCAAGAAAATAAATATTAAGGGTTCCTTAATATTTGTGTACTGTGGTGGGTATGAATAAGCTGAATGCTCGTTGCCATGGGGAAATTTCCTATTTTTCTGAGATTTATTCTCAAAATACCTGGATTTATTCGACGAGGATCAAAGCCCGGCAGCGATCTCTTGTTTATGTTTTTTTTTTCAGTTTTATTTTTCCAAGAAAATAAATTTTAAGCGATTCTTGATCTCGAATGTCAACGGCTGTCCAGCTCCTAGTCTGGTTCTAAGCGCCAGTCTTCTGAGTGTACTTTTGACTCTTCATTTATTGGAATGCGGCTCGAGTAGTGAAAGGGAATCGTTCTCGACCCTTTTTGACTTTTACCGGGTTGATTATCGTCCGCCGCCACAGCCAGAGAAGTTGGTCAACGGATCGGAGGCTAAAAGATGGAGACGACAAAAAGCTGTCAGGTGGATGTGGCTACGGGGCAGCGCCGACCAGTGGCTGAGCCCCTCAACTACTAGTCCTCTTTCCAAACTCTGAAACTGGAACGCCCGGTGGAAGGAGCCCCATCCGCCGGTCTGCGCTACTCGCCCCCTCCCTCTCGCACAAGACATAGAAGAAGAAGGGGAGAGGGAGAGAGAGAGAGAGAGAGAGAGAGAGAGAGAGAGAGAGAGAGAGAGAGAGATGGCTGGTCTTCTGGGGAGGCGGTGCATGCTGGTTGGGGTGGTGATGGCTCTGCTGATGGCATCTGGTAAGCCTATTCTCCTCCCCCCACCCCTCCTCCCCTTCTGATTCAGAGTGGTAGATGATCGGACAAGATGAACAACCATATCTCCTAATTACCATCATAACCATATAAACTAGTTCATCAAAATCGGACAAGGTGAATAAATATATCCCCTAATACCCATCACTATCATATAAACTAGTTCCTCATAATCATTAATGGGTTAAGTTCTCTTGGGATCTACAGATGGCAGAGCGGCGGCAGCGGAGCTGATGATCAGGGAGGAGCCTGAGCTGAGAAATTCTATTGGCATGACAAGGAGGATGTACGCGGATGGAGGGAGCGATGAGGCCCACTTGGTTGGCGGCGGGCTGGACGTGCCAGACACCGCCGTGGAGCTGGCAGCGGAGGCGCCGGCGCCGTCCAGTGCAGCGTGCAGCCGCCTGCCATGGATGATGTGGGTGGTGGTGGGGTTGGCCTCCTCCATGGGACCTTTCCTCGGCTAGCCATGGATGAAGTTCTTGAGGTTGCAGAGGCAACCCACTTGCTTGTTGTGGGGGTCTCATTGTGTTATGCCTCATCTCTGAGATATCTTCCTTCCATGTGGGTGTTGCTTTGGTCTTTCCTTAGTTGTGATTGGAGGAACTGGAGTCGGATCGAGGGCCGGATTGGGTCATGATCTTCACTAATTTCAAGAAAAATTGATGGATTTGATATGTGTGATTGCGTGAATAGGCCTCCAGGCCTGGCTTTTGAAGCCTTAGTTGGGAAAAAAAATGGGCCCGGTGAATGAATACAACCCTAAATAGGATTCCATGAGATTTTTGATCAATCAGAAGTAGTTGAATATGATTGAATTTCGTTCAGATTTTGCGGAACCTCATTGAAGATTTAAGCAAGTTTAGGAATCAACGGGGTTCATGTTCCAAGATTCTGGGAACTAGAGAAGGTTTTTGATTTGGTTATGATTCAAAGAGAAAAAGAAGATGAAATGCTCTCTGATAAAGTCAACCATCAGCTGAGAAAGCGGTAAGCTGGGTCTCATAAAGTCAACCATCAAGGTCTTCACCCTTCCCAACACCCATTTTCAGCAACCATGAATCATTATCTCTGAAGGCCAATATGCACATCAATTATTTAGGCACATAAAATAATTCACGCTCAGTGATAATAATAACCATGTAAAGGGTTGGTCACCCATTTCTAATGTAATCTTGAAGAAAGAGGCTATTATCTTAAGAGCGGCCAAAAGAGGAACGAACAAGTAGCTGACCTTTTCATTTGTCCCTCAAGACTACGTAGTTGGCTCCGTTTGTCTTCTGTATCTTTGAAATCCTCTTCAAGATCTCAGCGAATGCCTTCTTATCCTGCACCAGAGATAAAGATCATGCTAAACCCCTCTACAGAGAGTTGCAAAAATAAATGGCCGTCTTGATTCCTGAATCAGATGTGCAGTCCGAAAATAGAATAATAAGTGATCTTCGGATGAAAAAAGAAATTTTGAATGAGATGTAAGCGATCTCGCAGAACCCTTCCAACGGCGTATGAGGAAACAGGGCTGAATCATGAATGGTATGAACAGATGGGGATTTTGACAGAGAACCACCTCTGATGATCGAAGTCTGGGCTTGAACTTTGCGACTAAGTCCTGGGTTGTCACTGGGGACATCACCACCAGAGCGGCCCTGATTTCGTCTTCTGTGACTGGGGCACCAGACTGTGCCGAAGCAGCTCCACTCTGCGGCAAGGAGCCCGTGGCTGCACTGGGCTTGGAGGTTGATGCTGGTTCTTCTTTCGTAGATGGCGGCCTTGATTCCTGAATCAGATGTGCAATCCAAAAATAGAATAAGATGTATATTTATGGGTAAGATAATGGGTTCTGGGAGAAAATTGGAACATACAGCTTCTGTCTTCACTTTCTTGACGGTTCCTCCTATCGGAGTTTTTACTTCGTCGCCACCAAGTTTCCTCTTTGACTTTGACGGCTTAGCGGAGGTAGGAGTCCCCTTGGTGGCTGCTGAAGGTGCAGGTTTAGAAGGAGTTGTTTCAGCAGGTTCTTCTTTGGGAAGGTCCTTCTGTTTTGGAGCTAATACAGGGGACAAGCCGACCTCATCCTCCACCTGCAATCCAGGGCAAATATATTAGCGCTTTTATAAAAGACTATATATATAGATACACACTTAGAGTGAGAGAGCAAGTAAGTGAGAGAGAGGGAGAGAGAGAGAGAAGCGGGTAGAGAGACAAGAAAAAGCTGACTTGTGGCCACCAATATGAAGAGAATTTGTGTCTGGGTTTGAAAAATTACCACACTCTCTCTCTACCGATCTGAGATTGGCAATAGAAGAGGGGAGGGAGGGAGGGAGGGGGAGACAGAGAGAGCGAGAGAGAGAGAAAGAGAGAGTTGAACGAGTGGAGTTACATCCTCATCTTCATCTTCCTCATCCTCCGGCTCCGACTCATTAAGTCCGCCAGTCCGCCCAAGCAACTTCTTCAGCTCCTTCCCAGATTTACTCAGCCCACCTTCCTCTTCACCCTCATCATCTTCGTCCTGAAAACATTCACAGGAATCAACGCGGCAAATATGATCAATCCCTGGAGTTGCCTAGAATTCTTAGTTTTCTGACAGTTGGCATACACTTGGGTTTCATCCAAAGCTCTCATTTACATGACAAGTAACTATTTTGAGAAAGTTTGGACAAGTGGAGCTAACAATGCATGACAGCAATACATCATATCCTTATATCATGCAAGCCACCAATCATTGCAACAAAACTTTCTGAAAAACGCAAGTATTAATATTGGAACGAATTATAGCACTCGAACCTGCTTGATTTCGGGGGGAGCAGGAATTTCGGGAGCCAATTCTTCTCGTTCCTCAGGATCATTGCCAACAGCCTCATCATCGTCGGTGAAGATCTCTTCATGCTCCCAGTCATCACCTAGAGTCAATAAGGGTATTAGATCAAGAGCACAGACGGACATCCCACAACTACTCATAGAAAACCCTGTGATAGGTTATCCTATCGTTTTCCGAAAATTGAAACAACTAATTATTTTCAATACACTTTGGGATGTACTCATAATATGTTTTTAATTGGGATGATGAATTGTGAGATGTTTTCTAACTAAGAAACGTAAAGTATTTGATCCTTTTCCCAAGTGAAATTAGTAGGATTCAAGAATACATGTCCTGAATCTATCACCTTTTACAGGTCAAATAATATGTTCTTAACTTTATTTTTTCTAAAGAAATTAAAACTTCACCTGTTTCATCTATTCTAATAACAAATTACAATTAACATGTACAATGAACCATCCATAAAATTACACTAAGCGAGAGCATGCATTTCATAGCAACTTTTGCAAGAAAAATCAGATCAGAACTTTCACCGGTAATTGTCAAATCATGACATTTCATGCATTGGCATCTCCTACCCATCCAAGAAGATGACCACTTCAAAGCTCGTCAGACTCATGACACTGGTAATTGTCAAATCATTGGTTTTCACGCAGTAACATCTACTTTTCCATTAAGGTAACCACTTCCAAACTGGTTAAAACTCCTGACAAAAAGGAACAATTAAAAGCAATATTCATGAGTTTAACTCTCGGAATGGGGCTGTAACTTGGGACGGAGTTGTTGGGTTGAAGCCATCGATACCCTCATTCTCAGCACCTACTTTTCCATTGATACAGGTTTAGCTTATGACAATTCTCATTCCTTTTTCCCTTTGTTTCTAACAATAATTACTTCAAAAGCAGGGTTTTAGCCATTGGAAATTCTGAAAGTTATTCTTTCTTCATGAATGAAAATAAACGGCACATTATGGTAAAACATATTCCCCACTCCAAACATATTCCCATTTTAATTTGCTTTCTTCAAAAGCAAATTAAAATTGGAAAACAGGTTTCGACGTCTTCTGAGAAACATTAAACGGGAATTGTTAAATGGAATATATTAAGAATAGACATTCACTAACTGTTTGCATGTGAATTTAAAATGAACAGTGGTCATAATTAAACCCCTGTCAAATCCACTGAGAACATGATGGACTGACAACGCGAAATGATATTGCTTGGTAATGAAAGGTCTACAAATAAAAATATGCGAGACATTCAAGCCAGCTAGAAGGTGCAGATTTATAATGCTTTCCTTTAAATTTTGCTTTTGGCTTCATTTTTATGCTCTGCAATTGATGATGTAACATGTATCTCAAAATTTCAAAAGAAAATCTTGTAAGCCCTCTGTAGTATAAAATTACCGAGTATGAGAATGATGAGGAAAACAACACAATTTTAACACAGATACCATCTGGCTTCAATCTTGTTCCTTCTTCGTTTATGGTGACTAACTTAATAGAATGAAATAAACTAGAACTCCATGATGATAACTTAAGTAGAAACTCTAGGGAGGAACTCACCCTTTTCAATGTCATCATCGTCAAAGTCAAAATCTCCTCCTTTGCCTCCCTCTTCGTCATCATCGACGCCCTTTTTATTGAGTCCCAACCTACTCTTCCTATTTTCCTCTTCTTCTAAATCTTCCTCACCTTTGTCCGAGAGGTTTCCATCTTCATCACCTTTTCCTCTCCTAGGTCGATTTGCTTCAGTTCTGGAACTAGTCAACACCTCACTGTTAACTTCACCAAAAGCAGCAGGTCCATTTGTAGCAGCTTTCATCATCCATCTCTCATATCCCGTAGCATTGCTCTTCCTTTTGTTCATCTTCTCTTCAGCTTCTTCCAATGTAAGTTGCTTGTATTGGGCTACCTTGTTGAAGTTGTACCTGAGAAAGAGAAAAAAATACTTTTTAGAAAAACACTACTTGGAATTCAAGGAGGATGCCAAAAAAATACGTTAAATTTCAAGTCTGAATTTACCCTGGCAAACCTTTGGCTTGGAATGATCAATGCACAGAGAATAATTTCTTAAAGAAAAAGAGAAACAAATTATCTAAGTTGGATAAGTACCAGGATCCAGCAGGCGTAGCAACAAACTCCTTTCCTTGCATCATTAGAAGATAGTATGTCGCAGACTGTGTACCTTCAAGCTGGCCAGAATATTGATGCTGACCAGTTTCATCCTCCAAAAGCCACGGCTTATTTTTGAACTTCTCCTGTTTAACGGATGAAGAAACTGATTGACCAATGCTATACATCAAACCAAAGAAAATAAAACAGCAAGAAAATTGTACAAGTATTAAAAAATAAAAAGAAAAAAAGGGGTATTCCATGGTAGCTGGCGACTATCTACACTTCCAGAAAAAGGTAGGTTTGGGAAGCACTGACAGATAAAAACACAGCTTGTGCGAAAAATACGAAATACAGAATCACGATCAAAATAGTAAACACGCCTCCACTTTGGCTTTAAATATGCATCCTCCTGAATGCATATGTAAAGAGTCTCTACTGCATCCAACTAAACATATTTTTGGCTGAAAGTTTCTTTTATCCACAAAAAAGTCTATTTGCTACAATATCTCATCAGTATGATTATTATTCTTTTCCGCATTAGGTCCTTCAGTAGAAGGAAATAGAAACGAGACTTTCTCATGATTCCATGGAAAAAATGCAACTAAACAGACAATGCATCTTAATTCCCTAACCAGAAGAGAAATTTGATCATTGCTCCCCAAAAATTGTTCAGTCTTCCCAATCTTTTTTTCTTCGTTCATCCCTATTCGTGTTCACCTTAAGAAGAGCCTTTATGTCTTCCCAATCCCGCGAGAAAAAATCCCATACCTTATCTCGTCACTAAACAGACGAAAGACAACTTTTAGTCTTCAGATTCCGGATGTCTAAGTAGTCACTCTCTAGCTGAAAGGGCGACGCTAACTTATGCCCCAATCAATGCAGAGCACTACTCAATCGAAAGGGTATTCCGTACGTCTATATTGAAAGTTCAACCAACGAAATAAATAATTTCCTATAAAGCAAATTCATTTTACATGTACACCTCCATCAAGCAACTATCCTCATCCCTAAGGGACTAAAGGAACATGCTGAACAAAAATATCGTTACGACCAGTGTATACAAATCCAATGGGGCACTAGATAGAAGGGGAATGGGTAACAAGCTAAAATAACAAAAAAATTCACCTTCAAAACACGTCTCCATTCGTCTTCCACGAGATTAGGGTTTCAAATGATATTCTTGTCTCTGGGTAGGTAAAATTTGCTTGCTTAGAAAAACACGGGGATTTAATACTTATGATCCACCTCCACAGCCCTAATTAGCTCAACAACTTCAACCTGTTATACGGAGAAAAAGAAGAAAAAAATGCTTATGCTCAAAACCTAGATGGCTTCCTTTCCCCATATTTTAGCCAATCAAGCTTCCTAGGTCTCCCTCTCTCTCATTAATCAAAACTCATGTTCATGGTAAAAAAGTAAGGCTCTGGTTATTATTCCAAATTTGAGTATTCCAACAAATCCTTCAGACAATTATCACCCACATTCGAATCATGATTTTAACAAGGGAAACTCGAAAAATTCAATGATTATATCTCATTTCCGTTCCAATTTATTCCTCTGAGTCTCATCCTTGAGATCTGTTTCTAAAGCCTTCCCGACAAATGTATTATCTGCAATTTTCGTTTTCTCTACAACTACATTTGTTCAAGTTAAATGATTTTTCCATAGTCTTCTTCCTCTCATTCCTTGCCGAGAAACATGGCCAATCTATCTCAATAGTGACCCAGCAGCTGAGCTACTGATTTGAAAATTTTCAGGCAAACATCTCGTATAGGATCCAGTTCTTTCACAGAGAAAACCATCACGGTATTACAGAAAGCAATGTTTTGATAGATGCAAAGGAACCAAGTTCCTTCCATAAGACAAGAGATGAATCTAAACATTGTCAAAATTTGACTCTGACATGATACTCCACCGAGTACAAGGATATCTACTAAACGGCTGCACCTACTCACCGTTTCACGACACATCACCCGTCAAGAAGGAAATCAAGCATGAGATGAATCATTCAATAATTATAAAGAGAATGGAGAATTGGTATAGAATGAATACAGAGAGAACCAAAGTGTCGCGCCTAGGCCGAAATATATATTTGAGCGTAAAAAACGAGACACTGAGATTCCAGCATTTTACAATTATCCACAACGAAATAACATTGAATACCTTAAGGCCATCAGTCATCTGACGGCCCTGAAGTCCTTCCTTCTGGAGGGTCCACTTATTTTCGGCGCTCTTTTTCCTCGAAAAAGGCGGCAAACCTGTGACAAATCTGCCTATGTAGAAGGACTTATCGCTACTAGTGCTCGCTCGAACATTATATTCCTGCGTAAAGAGGGAAAGGATAAACAAATAAGCAGTATAAAACTACCGCCATGAGACGATCAGAACGCAAATTCAAATGTGAACTAACTTCCCGACAAAAAAAATTAACATCCTATGCTCCCGCACCGAAAAAGCATAGGAGAACAGTTTTAAGAATTAAAGAAGAAAAATTTCAAACGACGCCAAGAATATTGACCTCGAAAGAAGAATTAAAAACCTGAGAACACACGACAACCCAAACAACGAGCAAAGACTTCCCTCACTCATGCCCTAATCGGTCCAAAAGGTTCATGATCACGCGGGAGCGGAGGAGTGAAGTGAAGTTGAGGAAGCCTCACCCGGATCAGCGTAGTGATCGTGGTACCGCACTCGTAACACCTTGCACGATTCTCCGCCATGGTCTTCCCGCAGGACAGACACAGCGTCATGTGCTTGCAGTTGCTGCCATAGAGGTCCGTGGTGGAGCTGCAGCCGCCGCACGACGGCTTCAGCAGGAGGTCGAACGAGGAAGACGACATCCCAGCAAAGGCACGAGCTCAAGGAATTCCCTGCGCCCCTTCCGATCTGAAGCAGTTCATATACCAGACGGGGAAATGGAGCTCGTCGTTTGTAAATAACCCTTAAAAATTATTATTTAATGCAGTACCTCCAACGGCCCGATAGCTTGGTGGGCCCGAGTCCACAATTGGCAGGCCCAAACCACCGTTCATGGGTGTGGGCCCCATTTCTCGGGCTTTTTCTTCGGGCCATATATGGGCTTACTTTGTCAGGATGGGCCAGGCCCATAGGCCGGAAAAGTAGGCCCGATCTACTTGAAGGAATCGGTGTGCTGAGAAAGGGAACGCACTTGCAGGGTCCGAAGGTATTCAGCTGCAGGATTGTGGCTTTCTCTCACATCATTGCCTAATTCAACTACCCACATAAGAGTAGAGAGATGGATAGAGAGAGAAAGAGAGATGCAGCCCAATGATTCAAGAAAAGAAAGCTCAGAGACAAAGCAGTCGAGGAGAAAGAAGACTTCACAATTTAGCAGAATATTCTTCTCTAATTACCACTTTCCATAATTCAGCTGCAAGATAGCAGTTTTCTCCCACCTCACTGCTGAATTCAGCTGCCCTCATGGCGGGAGAGAGAGCGAAAGGGAGAGAGAGGAGGAGGAGAGAGAGAGAGATTCAGCCTTCAGCTCAGAGACAAAGCAGTAGAGGAGAAAGAAGCCTTCAGAGGCATCCCCACTTAATTCAGCTGCAATCTTGCAGCTTTCTCCCACCTCACTGCTAAATTCAGCTTCCCCCTCTTGGCAGCACGCAGAGAGAGAGGGAGAGAGGGAGAGAGAGAGATTCAGCCCACTGCTGCAGAGAAGGAAAGCTCAGAAGGAGGCAAGAGAGGGAGACCTCAAAACCTTAAGGATACAGTCACTATACAGATAATCCAACCACATCTACAAGGTCATCGCCCATCATCCATGAGAGAGGGAACCAACCCACTGCCAAGTTCCTTCAGAAGGGAGTTAGAAGAAGAAGAAAGAAAAACAAGAGAAGCTGAAGAAGTTAGATGGTCTGGTTTGATGGGGTTCCAGAACATCTGGATTAATCTAGAAGAGCCAGGATCGAGCCGTCTGAGGAGGTGGGACCGGGGTCTTCAGAGGTACCTTGGGTTCTAAGGCTTCCACCAGCTTGGCAGCCTTTGGGTCCCTCAGCAGAGACTCCTGGAAGGACTGAGGGAAGCCGGTGGCAATGATGGTCACATGAATATCCCCCGTGTATCGGTCGTCGACGACTGCCCCAAATATTATATTTGCAGAAGGATCTGCTAGGCTGGTCACAACCTGCATGAAATAATAATAATAATAATCGTACAAATTCAGATTGAAATGAAGCATATGAAGGTTTTACTTTTCTTCCTGATTGAAATAACCATATAACTCCAAACGATTGAGAGCTTGAAGGAAACTTTTTCTAATCTGCAGTTTATATCTACATATATGAATTTATGTATTCGATGGAAAAATCTACATAGATGGAAAAAATAAATCATACAAATTCAGATTAAAATGAAGTATATGAAGTTTTTGCTTTTCTTTCTGATTAAAATAACCATATAACTCCAAACGATTGAGAGTTTGAAGGAAACTTTTTTTAATCTGCAGTATATATATATATATAAATATGAAAAAAGCATATGGAGTTTCTTCATTTCCTATTGAAATAACCATATAACATCCAAACGATTGAGAATCTGAAGGAAACTTTTCTAATCTGCAGTGTGTATATTATATATATGTATTCAATGAGAAAATCTACATCTATGGAAAAAATAAATCATTAAGATTGAAATGAAGCATATGAAGTTTCTTTTTAGCGGACTGAAATAACCATAGAACTTTCAAATGATTTTTCTATCCTGCAGTATATATATATATATATATATATATAGCGAGAGAGAGAAAGAGAGAGAGGGAGAGAGAGAGAGAGAGAGAGAGAGAGAGAGAGAGATGTATGAATATGTGTTCAATGGAAAAATACGCAGGAGTAAAATGTTACCTGAGAAACTTTGTTCACTTCTTGAAGGGTGATGTCCTTTCCCCCAGTAATATTATAAACAACACCGGTGGCACACTCGATAGATGACCCGATTAGAGGCGCTAGAGTTGCTTGCTCAGCTGCCTCTTGTGCTCTGTTCTTGCTGGAGGAGGAACCCACTCCAAGCATGGCAGTCCCAGAGTTCTTCATGACAGCTTTCACATCTGCAAAATCTACATTAACCAGCCCGGGAATCTGCAGATTACAAGGGGAAAATGACCATAAGCACTGGCTTGGACACGTAACGAGAAAGAAGAGATGATTTGGAGATATTAACTGTTATGATGTCGGATATTCCTTGAACTCCCTGCCTCAAGACGTCATCAGCCAGGAGGAATGCATCTTGGAGAGGCGTCTGTTCGTCAACAGCCTCTAATAATCGATCATTAGGAATCACTATAAGAGTATCAACATTCTTCTGTAGCTTCTCAACAGCCTCCAGTGCCTATTGACAGAGAAGTCGTATATAAGATTGTCAAGGAAAAAGGAGAACCAATCCGAGCTAAAAAGAAAACTATGCATAGTTTGAGAAAATTCCTTGCATAGATTTTAGGCCTCACAAGTAAGAGCCTAAGGGCGATGCTTGGATGTAGATATAATCTTTTTTCATGTTCAAAAAGATAATACGGACATAATATTCACAGATTTGGCAATGTTTTTAAGAAAGAGGGCAAAAGAAAGTGGAAGCCCACAGCTGTTTGACTTATAGATAATCAATCCTCTCAAGCACCCTTCACTCCCACCACAAAAAAAGGAAGGAACTCTTTCGGTCAACTCTTGAAGAACATAGCAATTAGGCCAACAGAGCAAACCGTAGCAAGACGAATCTGTTCAAATAGTTAGGCAAATTCATCTCCAATATCGTGCTGACTTATAACCTTATAAGCGTATGAACTACAAATAAAGGTCGGCAATGCTAATTAATCGTAATAAGAGTTCTTTCAAATGTTTTCGTAAGGTGGTTGAAGTATAAATCATGATCTTAAGTGAATTTAAATGGTAAGAAAATGTGGCCTCAGAAATCATGGGAAAAGCATAGGAGAATGCGCTGGTAGATTACCTGAAATTTAACCTCAGTTACAAAATTGGTTGACTAGTGGCGCAAGTCCAGTGTCAACGAGAAATACTCAAAGTTAATAAAATAATAAAGGGATATGTAAACCTGCCTGTAATGATCTTTTACGACCTTCGAAACTGAACGGATATGTGACAACACCAACAGTCAAATAGCCAGCTTCCTTTGATATCTGTGCTACAACAGGTGCAGCACCTGAGCCCGTCCCTCCACCCATGCCAGCTGTTATGAAAACAAGATCTGAACCTTTGAGAGAGTCAGCGATGGCTTCTCTGGACTCCTCAGCAGCCTGCTCCCCAAGAAGAGGATTCCCGCCAGTACCTGCATCTCTGAGCGGAACATTTTGATAAGTCCAAATAACGCAGCATATGGGTATATTAATATGTGCGTATACTAACACAGAAAGATTGACTTGTATCATCATTCAATGATGACCAAGAGCACCAATATCACCAAACAAATAAGAATATACTGCAGTGGACAACACAATAGTAGCAGTACGGAAACCGACTCCAATTGGTTATCTCAAATTCTTCCTCACTGTCATTAAACCTCTTGTCTCATTTAATGAACTTGAAGAGACTCTTGATTAGGCATAATTTACCTTTATGCGTTCATCCTCCAGACATCTAAGTTGATTAAAAAATTTGAAAGGAGATAAAGGTTATACTAGCTGAGAACAGCTGTCAGATCATCCCCTATCAAAAATCAGCCTTTCAAAAAAGGCCTGATTCCTTCTGAAAATCAGATATAAGTGGGATTGGTCAATCGCCCAATCTTTTTCCTTTCTTCTAATGTTAAGGGAGCATAATTCACATGAACTTGCACCAAAGAGCGCCTAGTTCTCATCCAGAGTAGAGCATGCTGATCGACTCCTACAATGAATCCCTCCACCCAAGCAAAAAGCCCCGAATCTTCTCCCCCACGTCCTTTTCGTTGATATTTCAACAGAGGGGTTTCCTGTTGCCCTGTTGTTTCTCTAGCCTTCAGGGCACTATTTCCACTCTAATGTCTCCAGGGTTATGCCGACATCAGGGCATGCACCAAGGTCAAACCCAGCTCTGCAGAACAGCAGCAGAAGCCACTTTTCTTTTACTGATTATCGGAAGGGCAATCGACTGAGGGACAGCATGATGTCAGTTCAAATGATTGTAGGCGAAAAATGGAATATTCAATCTTAGAATATAAGTTTTCCAAATGGAGAAAGAGATCTCTCTGGAGAATAAGTTGAGATCAAAGGTTATTATGTAGTAATGTTTTCTATTATAAATTGAACATGTGCTCAAGGAACAAGTATCAAGCTAAGATGGATATGAAAATGGTCCTTTAGAAGGAGCCACGATCGGATGACATAACCTTTCTTTTGTAGCATTCAAACATAAAAAAATCAAAATTTTAAAAAATATATTGTCGTATAGAAGGTGCCTGACCAAGCCCTCTAGTAAGAAGCTCCCCAATTTGTAGTGGATATTTTGCTTGAGAATGCAACAGTGCCTGAGAATCTGTGTTTATAGCATAAAACTCAATGCCCTGAAAGATTAGATTATACAAGACAAAATTTAGGATCCCTTAAACACTGAGGAACAAAAAACTATAATTTATCCAACAAAGATAATCGCTGATACTAAAGAGGGGGGGGGAGGGGGGAACATCAATTGCCTCCTTTTTCTTTGATTCTCCGATTTCATGCACACAGCGTGATTAAGACAGATAAAGTCACCTAGTCTAGTAATTTTCACTTTTCATGACTTTCTTGCTATCATGAATGGTCATTACAAGAGAAGTCCACAAGTTGATATCACTGGAAAACGACAACAGATAACTGGAGTACCAGGGATAGTAGATTAAAATAGAAGGCTTTTATCTTGGAAGTCTTAATAAATATTTTATATGTCATAGTAACATACCAAAAGATTAATAATGAATAAAACGAGGCAACGAAACCTCAACTATACCCAGGAAAGAATGAATAAGAAATGCGCACACAAAATATCCACATGAAAATCATAAAACGTAAATTCCATAATCTGAGTAAGGCAGGATGCGCCTCCTTTTACAATGTGCGAGTACTGGTACTTAAAATAAACTATTAGAAGAATGGTGCGGGTATGCTTTCCTGTTAGAAGACTTGGTTCCCTCTCGGGCACCGAAGATTTTTCACATGATTCTTAGGTAGGAGAACAAAAATATCTACGACCGATGATTCTTCGATTTTTACAATCACAGCAAAAACTCAATGCTAGGCATGGTCGATGGGGAGTTCATACAGGCTTATACATTTGTACTCAAAGTTTAAACCAGGGTGTGAAAACCGTGTAGCTGATGTCATGGGATCTGTGGCATCAACGACTAAAATCGCATAAAATCCTTTGAAAAAATTACCTCAAGTCGAAAGTAGAAAACTATGATTCATAAGAAATAGAAAGTGCGATCCCATTTCAACCACTCCAAAGAAGAACATTTCCTGCTTCGGCAAAAGAAAATGCAAGGATGCTGAAATGCAGATCAGAGTGAAGGAGAGCGCCGGAAAACAAAGGAGAAATAAGCGAGAAAACATAAAGAGGTAATGCCGCTCAAGTGCCAACTCCGACGAGGATGCCGAAGGGAAGCAACGAAGCGCAGAAAACAGCAATGAGAGGGATGAACGAGGACAAACAGTTACCTGCAACCCACTTCCGATCATGCGGTTGACAGCATTGTTCCCCCCGCCACCAACACCGACCACCTTGATCCTGGCGGAGTCCATCGGGGGGAAGGGTAGTGAAAAAGAGCAGCGAGCTGCCCCATACTTCGGCCTCCACGGGGCTCTCAGCCGACTAAATGTAGAGCTACCCAGGGAAGGGCAGAGAAGCCCAGAGGCGGAGCAAGGAGAAGGGACCAGCCCCGTCGTGCCCGTGAGGAAAGCAGATTGAAGTGCATTACCAGCCATCAGAGCCTCCCCCCTCCCCCTCCTCCCCTGCGTTCACGAGGAAGGAGAGAGAACGTCTCTAGGGTTTTAGGCGCGGATTTGCAGGGTTTCCATCGCCCCGTCCGAAATTCGATGAAAACCCCCACCTTGTTTGCAGAGCTAGGGCTTCCATAACGGTCGAATTCGTAGTCCAATAACCAAGAAAATGCCCATCGGATACCCCGGATTTGATTAGACGATCCGATTAGATGCCAAAGTATCGGGTCTAGAGACCCGATAAAAACTAAACGGTAGGATGCACATGATCACGCGGAAGGTTATAAAGAAAAATTCATGATGGCGATATCAAATAAAAATTAAATCATATGAGTCAGCCGAAGGGCCAAATTGGGTTGAAAATAGGAAGAAAATATGCAAAGAAAACTTTATAAAATGTATAGACAATAAAATTATTTGATGAGGATATGGAATAAAGTAAAAAGATTTTAGAGGACTTTATTGTAATTTTCCCAAAAAAAGAATCCACCTTGTAGATCCGGTAAAAAGGCCTGGATCGAAACAAGAGAAAAAGGATATAACGGAGATTATATATATATATATTTCAAATGATATACTTAAGGATATGAAATATGCCATAAAGTTAAATCATAAACATTGCCTATGGGTATTTGCTGGGTACAAGTATGAAATATCTAAAAGTTAATGATATCAAAAACTTTACAAGTATAAATAACATACTAATAAAGGTATTACAAGTCTAACATGTTTGGAAATATACTAGTATATTTCTAAGTTTCAATAATATACCTGGAAATAATTTAGAATTAGATTATTGTTGTCTCTATAAATAATATACAAATATATCATGTTAGGAAATTAATTTGTAAGTTTTTGGCTGATAATTTTGTATGAAATCAATATAATTGAGAGTGCTGGTGATAAGCTAATGCACTAGTGAACAATGTATGTAGACATTGGTGAAATCTATCATGCAAAAGGAATTATTGATATTGTGAATTTAGGTTGTAGTTCTATGAAGGAGAATAATGAAAACTAAAAAATTAAGAACCCTAGGTTTGTCAATGTACGTTAAGAAAGCTTAAAAAATTATAAATCTATGTTTATCTATAATATTTACTTAGTGTGTTGACCCAACCTTGCCTATGGTGACCTAACAAAGTCCACATAGACTTATTAAGCATTGAGAAAATTGCTTTAAAAAAATTATAAAATGAAAAAAAAGTTAAAATTACCAACTTACCCTCCTCTTGTCATTCTTTGCAGTGTTCTTGAGAATGTCACTAGTCTCACTTAAACTGATGGAACTCACTAATAAGAGAAATACATAATTTACAGACATCTGGATGTCCTGACCTACTTTACTCAAGGTTTGATTCATGATTTCTACCTACAAACTCATTTCCACTAGATTCATGATTCTTATCATTTAAATGACTATAGGGATAATAGACTGATATTATTATGATTTAAGGTGTTTTAACAAAAAGAATCAACATGATAGTCATGGAACTTAACATAGTGTTGTATTGATAAAGAGTTGGAAGTTCTTCCCCACAAAATCAACACCTTGAAAGGTAATTGATGAATATTTTCCTTGAAATTGTGTTCTTGTTATCCTATTTCTAGAAATCTTGTTATGTTTGATTTATTCTTTAACATTCAAATAATTTGGAATCCCTATTGTTACTACAATTTACTTCATGATAACCATAGCACATTAAATGAATAGTTTTAGTTTTGTTACTAAAATTTAATTTTAAATTAATATGAGTTGACCTCAAATTGTTATATTATTTAGAAGGGCATGTTTATACAATATCATGTTGTTGGATCACTACAATTGTTACATATTCTAAAATATTTGATTTCAAATATTCTATTATATCCAAATATAGCTGCCATGCATTAGGATATTAGGCTTCATAAATTGCATTATTTCATACTAAAATTATCATGAAGTGAAATTTAGAGCTGGATATAATTATATTTCATATTATAATTTCTATATACTAACTTAATAAGCTTGACATACTCTATGATCCCACAATAAAACTCAATCATATATCAGCATTTTATTCTACATTTCATTCATAATCTATTCTTCAGATATTGGCATATTAACATTCATATCTTGTATTATTCCACAACATTTATGTCATACTCTATCCCACAGTATAATCCCTAGATCTTGACATGCTAATGTTAATGTAGTATGATGTCCTGCAACCCAAATCTTCATACACTACCATATTATGCATCATGTATCAAGCTAGTTACATACCATCACTTAGTTTGATATTTAAATTATAAAACTTAATTTATACTTAATTAAATGTTAGCACAGATATATTATGATGTTATGGAACATAAATTGCTTACAATAAAACCATGTATTTGATCTACGTAGTTATTTGTATCTCTTAAGTTCTCTATTCCAAATTTTCAACTTACTTTTAACGTATTAAATTAATAACATTGATAGATATTGACCTTTTAAAATTAATAAATTATATATGTTACTCTTTACAAACTAATATGTGACACTTTATACACATTCCATTGGTTTATAACATAACAAGCTCCTAATAGATGAATGTTGAAAAGTCTATATACCTTGTTGTTTAGCAAATATAAATCTTTATATACTGATACATTAATATTATTTTTCTACATTATTTTTAACATAAACATTGTACATTGAATTAGTGTCAATGACATGTTTAATTGACTTAGAATGTAAAATTTTCATATACTAAAGTATGATATCTTTTGTATTTGCATGCTTTTGTCAACTACAAAACTCATTCTAGATTCCAAAGCATAACAAACCATATTGAAACTTTTTATAAAATATGAATTAATTGATTATCATTAACTCTTTGGATACCAACTAAATTACCAATAAACCTCTATAATTTCTCGTTAGACTACTAAGTACCTTCGGTTTTAGTCTCTTTAATGCTTAATATTTATTATCTACTAAAGGTCAAACTACTTTTATAATTATACTCTTAGATTTCCTTGTGTTACGTTTCTTAAGCAACATGGTGCTGACAACCTTCTCTCCCTCCAAGCCAATTGGAGAGGGGAGAGAGGACAAAACTGCTCCGGACCCAAGGCCCAAACCTACCGATGACTTGAAATCAGCAGAAGGAACTACTGAGGGCTTCCCCAACGGTCATTCAGAAGAACACTTCTTCTCCTGTGGGCAAATGGAGAGGCATCCGGCATCATCAGGAGCATCCGGAATGAACCACCCAGATGGGGAGCCGGAGAACAGGGGGAATGGAGATGGGCTGATATATATTTTAAAAAAGAAAAATAAAAATCCTCTCAATTATTTGTGATCTCTCCAAGCATCTCTAATAGCAGTACTTAGGCTTACATAATGGGAAAAAAATCTCAAAGGGGAGGTGCTGAGCCTTGGGATCGGGCCACATAAAATTGGAATAATGCCTGAAAATCGTTGACAATCTTCAGATCTTTGATAAATCAATTGGGGGGAGCTGCAGCTGCCCGGGTCCATGGAGCTCTGGCCGCTGAAGATGGTCAGAATCTGAAACTCGGGTCAACATCCATTGCCCAGGCGAACTTTGCCAGAAGAGACTTGTTGAATATCTGTGAGAAGCAAATATATTCAGAAACGATGTTCTATGATCAGTTACAATGATAGATTACATACAATCAGTTGAAAAGGGCAAATGATAAAGCCATGGAGGATGATTTACAGCGTTCATGTGTAAAGCAATTTGAAGGATTTATTGTTAAGTTTTGATAATTTTGACAACCAGTGTTGATTATTGTAAAGCCCATGGATTCAGAAAACTCATTCTTCGCCGAGTGATTGCAGGGATCAATTGGAGACGATTATTTGATAAATGAACAGACATTGAAGGCCAAAAAGTGATTAAAAGTCCTAATTAATCTGTTGAGGAAGATGCTTTACAGTGTTTGTAGATGATTAATGAGAAGCAAATAGATTCAGAAACGATATTCTTCCATGATGAGTTACAGTGATGGATTACATACAATCAGTTGAAAGGAATAAATTGAAACCCGAAATGTGAATTAAAAATCTGAATTTATGGGCTATGGAGGATGATCCACCGCGCTCATGTGTAAAATTATTAGAAGGATTTATTGTTATTTTTTTGAGTTTGACAGTCATGATTGATCATTGTGAGTGAGCAGCTGATTATTGTAAAACCCATGGATTCAGAAAACTCATTCTTCGCTGAGTGATTGCAGGGATCAATTGGAGACGATTATTTGAAACGAACAGACATTAAAGGCCAAAAAATGATTAAAAGTTCTGAACTAATGTGTTGATGAAGATGCTTTACAGTGTTTCTTTCGTGAAATTTTCACAAAGATAAAAACTTAAACCGAAAAGAAGAGCAGGGAGATGATAATTGTGAAAGCAATGGACTCAAAACTCTTGTTCTTATAATGTTTGATGGTTTTCACAGGACAACTTTGAGAGAATTCAATGGAGAAGAACAGAAATGAAAACCCAAAAAGTGAATACAACAAGCGCGAGATAATGCATTGAGGAAAGATGCTTCATAAATATTCATAAAGTGAAATCACCCACAGTTTCAAAACGAAAGAGTAAGCACATGATTAAAGAGAAACTACTACATTCATTAGGATATGTTATAACTGTGAGAAAATGAATAAAATACTAAAAAAAACCAAAAAGTGATCAGAAATCTGTGAGAATTATCCACAGCGATCATCAGTAAAGGTCAAAGAGGGGAATATTATGTAACATCACAACCGAAAGAAGCAAGGGCTCAACCTTTTCAATGGGGACTTCATGCCGTTTACACCAAGCAACTGATATTCTGGGATCGAGATAGTTAATCTTTGATGTACCCAGAGCAACGGTCTTCAAATCCTCTTTGAGTTTTTTATCTAATTCTATCTTTTCTATCTTCGCATCTAGCTGCATCAGCTTCTTCTCCAACCTGCAGGATTATCACAGTTTTATAAGGCAGATGCATGACAACACTTAACACCTAGAAAAGCAAATCAAGGGGATTATTACGCTTCAGATGACAAATTCCTCTTTGTCTTCCCCTCTGAGTCTTTCAAAGGAGGCTTCCCCTTCCTCGCCCTACTCAGATCTGCATTCAGCTCCTCTCGCTGAGTCTGGATACAAATATGAGATTCCACTGTAAGGGCTTCCAAAAATACGTACACAAACTTTGTTCTAAATTAAATTTTATAAAGAGATTGAGACAAAATATTATGATAAGAGGAAAAACAGAATGAGAAAACTGAGAGGTGGGTACATTTAATTCTTCTAACTTGTCATTCAGTCTTGACATTTGGGCGTCGTGGGACTTGGAAACACTCCTTTGATGGTTACAGATGATTGCCACCTACATTCAGAGTAAGAGATCACATAGGTTAATAATAGAAGGCTTAATCAAGAAATACGATGGTTGGGACATGGCAAACTTCATCTCTACCTCTTTGTTTGCATGCTGGTAAACAGCAAGCTTCTCTTGCACGATCCCAGCCTTGGTTTCTTGATTCAACTGTTGCACAGGAAATTTAACCAGCAGACTGCTACCATCAGGAACTGAAGAAGTTGGGTGAGAAATGGAAAAATATAAGTGCAGGTGCGATATGATAGACGCATTCTTTTTCTACCCCATTGGTGGCGCGGGCATAAACCACCAAAACCTCACCCTAAAAGGTGGAGAAGATTGTGTAAACGCCACAGGGCATCAGACAAAAAAATTAGAGTTTATATAGCTTATAGAATTTAAGGCTAATTTCAGTTATTTAGGTCATTATTCTATGAAGATAGACCAAGAAAAGCAATAAACCAAAGTCAAATAGGCTGACACTAATCTGCATAAAGCCCACCACATCAACACTCAAAAGATATTTCAATCTCATTAAACTGGGGCCAGACAATCTGAGAAATATCAACCTGAGGTCAGAGAGATGCAATTGAAATAGTAAGAGGAAATCAAGCCCTATCTTATTAACCTGGGGTCAGAGATGTTGAATCGGTACCCCCCATAAAGTCAACGCAAAGTGAACAGCAATTAGTCTCCAGCTGTGCGCTATTATTAGACTGGTTAAATTCCACATAATTTAGAACCAAAAAAGGAGGATATGCATAATAAAGTCAACGATATGTTTTTGCCTTCTATTGTTTTTGCAAAGTCCGAATCAGAGAGCACTAAAGCATGCTTTCACTAGACCTTACCATGTCATCCAACGTAATGGATGCATTGTACGTGCGGAAAACCTTTGCAGTAAGACCAGGCATGAGTTCCTTCAGATGGGCATTAAGCTTGTTGGTGTCCAGCATATGGAAAAGGGAATCTGCATCCTCCTTCTTTTTTCCTAATAAATAAGAAATTCCAGGTCATGGTACAGAAACTAATGGGTTGAAGAAATAAAGTGCATAGTTTACAAATGATATCTTTAGACAAGTAAGAAGCATAGTAGTCTATGAAAATCATGTACCATTTTGATTTTTTGTCCGAAGATCTCCAACTGCTTTGTAGACAGCTGGCTCAACTTCTACGGTGTTAAAGTATCTGATGGAATCCTTACCAAGAAAGTCAAACTGGAGAAATGACAAACGTTTAATCACAGCACAACAGATAAGGAAATACTCAAAAAGGTTCAGACATCGAAGGCATTCCATTTTACCTGTAACTTACTTGGAGGGATCAACATGACATTTTCCACTTTCAAAGTACAGCAGCCAACAGTCTCAGCCTCTTCACCTTCCTCCTGAATAAATGGAGAAGGAAAAGCAATTAAGTAACGCAGGATACTCTACAAATAGGTGATACTCAACACTATGAAAACCTATCACATGGACACGATGATCAGTAACAGTTTTTTTATGAACTAAAAGAATTAGTCTAATATCAAACCGAAATGGACCCTTTGGAATAGGCAACCATGAAATTTAATTATGTGGACTTTTTCCCATAGGAAGAGAGATATGGTTCCACCTGTCCACAATCTTTGAATTGTGGACGTGTGTGGAATGCAGTGCTTAGAACGGTGATGGCACATGAAGTACAGTCCCCGCTTTTGTAGGGGAATATACGTTTTGTGTAGCATTTTCCATGTGTCACGGTTTACCAAGCCTCATATTTAAATAAAAAGCCTCATGTTAAAGAAACGTCTCCTCTCATGCATTTTATAGCATCAACCTAGTGCACTCAGTGTGGTCGATGATGTGAGTATATCTTAACCCTTAAAAAAATATGTTCCCATTGTAATTGTCTCCTCCCTCCCTACCACTCTTTCACTCCCGTTTCCATGGTTTTCTCTCTTCTTCATTGCCATATGTGGGATAAAGGGTCTTGGTCCTCACCAGGGGGAACACTGAAAAAAATATGTGCAGGGGAGCATACGCTACAGATCGTTTCTCCCGAACAAAAAGGAGAAAATATGCAGGAGCATCTAGAAAAGAAAAGTTAGTAAGCAGCAAGAAGAATGCGATATGCACAGATCAATAGAATTGTATCCACTATACAATTCGAAGTTTGTATCCCCATTCGTGAAGCATGTTTACACTTGAAATTTGGTCCAGATAACAACGTAAAACATAGGATGACCTAAGTCTACTTGAAAAATATAATAGCAAGTGAGAATTAGAGAATGCTCTGCCCAGGGACATGAGATTTAAACAGACAACATTAGGAATCACATCAGCTTGAACCAAGAAGCTCTAGACAAATTGCAATCTGAAATAAATACAATTGCATCGAACATCACATAATCCGGCCATGATATTCACCAGGTTTGTATCAGTGATACAAAACAAGGAAACATCAAACTATTCTGCTTGCAGACATATTGCCTGTTTCTGAATATACATACGAATGTATCCAACTAGAAAAATCAAATCATTAAAAAAAAACATGCAACAACACAATAGAAAGTGCATAGACAGCAGGCAATAATGCAAAGATCTATGACCAAGAGAGAAAATAAAAATCGTAACCTCTAAGGATGTACCTTTTCATTTCCTGCTCTGAGAGCTAGCTTGTCAATAAGGTATGTTGCCACTGCTATTTGCCTTTTTGTATCATCTTTACTTGTAAAGTCTCTCGTATAATTTCTCCTAATGCTATGGATATAATCCTAAACCAAGAATCATAGGATATTAATTGGCAATTAAAACAACTGAAGACAGAATTTAAAAGCTAAGATACTGTAGCTGGGAGGTTTTCTCAACTGGTCACGTTTCCCCTATGCTACTGAATAAAAGCAAAAGAAATTAACTGTTGACTCTAATTCACCTTTAACTTCCGAGCTTTCTCATACTTTTCTTTATCACTTTGACCCTTCAAAGAGCTACTGGCAGCCAGGAAGACGTACTTCATTTCCTTTGAATTGATTGGGTCATTCCAAAATGCCAACCATGTCACAGTGTTGTCATGCCGTATTTCTTTCCACCTGACAAGACAATAATTCAGCGCAAAACAGGCCAAATCGTAAGAAGTAATTTATATCAAGGAAAGCCATTCACCTTCCACCAGCTATTGGACATTCTGGAATTGGAGCAGATTTTCCAATATTGATTGTTATATCGCTTGGGCGAATGCGTCTTTTCAGCTTCCCCATCTATGTTCGAAAAGGTACAATCACAGTGAATCGAGATGAACAAATGGCATACATACTACAATAACGTCTTTCAGTCCATAGCTAACGTATTGGATCACAAACTATTCACCCAAAATGTCTAAGCATAAGGTTAGAGGAAGGAAAACCTTTGGATGTTCCCCGCGGCCTCGAAATAATCCAGGTGGTTCAACTCTGAAATTCCCAACCTGAGAAGATATCATAAAAATTATAAGAATGGATAATAACTGACCCATGTTTTACACAGGGGAACAAAACTGTAAAATGCACTCTACAAGTCCACAGAGTCAATGCCTTTTCATTTACTAAACTAACACAACTTTCTACAGCATAAAACAAAAAGCAGAAAGAGAGAATGAGAGACACAAAGAAGCAGAAAGAGAGAGGGAATAAGAGAGAGGAGAAATTAGGAGCATGTGGATCCGTTTAGTTGTAGGATAAGTTTAACATACTCTTTCCGTAACTCGGTTTCACAGGGTCAAGGCAACGAAAATGACTTTAACATGAGAGGAGACAGAGGTCAATAAGAATATAATTTAATATGAAGGCATCTAAATATACTCATGGATTGAAAATATTTTCTGTATAAATCGTGCAACCAACGAACAACCTTTAAGCGCTGGTAAATGCAAGGAAATTTTAAACAAAGAGATACGAGGCACACATTATGCAGACACAACACCTATTAGCAAAAAAGAGATTCAATACCCGGTTAAGAAATTTACCACGGGAAATTAAAAAACTGTCATTGGACACCATGAAAGTTGGGAAAGTACAAACCAAAACAATGCTACAAGTGTGTGTGTGTGTGTGACAAAAATGCATCTTACCCCCTCTGTCACAAAAGTTGGGAAATTAGGATGTTATCCTTAAAGATATAGAAACGGGCATTCTATGAACGGAGATCTAGCCAATTGTAAAACTCAATTCTGCACTGCTGCTGAGTCGTCGGGCTTATCCACCGACGGGATTCGTGGAATTTCAGTTTGTGGATTGCGTTGGGGGAAATCTACCAAAGCTAGGCAGATAGAAAGACTCCTTTCCCGCTGCTAAGGGAGAGAAAGAAACTAAATAAAATGATTGTTTTTTCACCAGCGCCCCCTTTTTTTGGGTATATATATATATGTATCTAATATGCACACCTATATATTTCAAAGAAGGAATGCACATCTTTTAATCCCACACATACTTTGCAACATCTTATGCAGTACTATAGTCAAAACAGCTATAGATATCGTATGACTGATGAAATACAGTACTGTCAACATTTAAATATCCAAGCCTTGGTCAGGAGAAACCTTTTCCTTCACACCATCAACAACAGCCCACATATATTTCTCTTCTTGCTGCATTTTCTCTTCTTTCAATGCCTTTTTTTCCTGAAAAGACAATAGAATGTCCATAAATACTAAATAAATGAATAACAGTCCACGGAATACCATGCAGCGAACACAAGCCAATAAAACAGAATTTATCATTGGTTACAAGATATTCCAGAAAAATATCTAACTTCAATGGCATTTTACGACATTTGTCTGTGGTAGGATTAAAATCAATCCCAGAAAGCTATACCATCCATCCAATCCATGGAAGCACTAAATGGAAAACAAATCACACAACACCTTAATGGTAAATTGAGGTTCTCATCACCAAGCAGACAAATTTCAACGCCAGTCAAGATGATAATTTTTCATGTACACGAAAAGGAATGCCTTGAACAGGAATGACAAAACCGAACTGGGCAGTGCGCAACCCTTTTGTCTACTTTGTTCCATTATTTTTTACCACTTGCATGAGGTCACATGGAGGTAGGTGAGATTTGCCAACTAGAACAATTCTTGTTCTTGAAAAATTATTGTGATTTCTATAACACGGAATAAAAAACATAACTGTACTCAAATTTCCAAATGTTCGAAGTAACAGAATGTTGAATTAAAAGTCATGGTCATAGTCACATGCCAATCAAAAATAATCAGCAAGAACACACCATTTATATGCTATTCCCCCAATATTTTCCACAATATCTAGATAGAGATTATTATTCTGCCAATGAATTAAAATGAACAATCCATCAGTCTTGCTGTGGAGAAATATACTTACTGCGGCCGTCATCTGCTTTTTCTTTTCCTTCTCCCTCAAATGCCATTCATAGATTGGTGTGAAGTCACACAACTCAAACTGCTTAATGACATGATTTGGACCAAGTATCGTTCTCCAATCCTTCATGAAATTATCAATGAAGGTCTTTTTCGTGGCATACTCTGTGTCCTTCATCACTGCAAACATTGTTGCAACCTAGGTGGCAGAAAAATCGAACAAAAAAATTAGGTAAAAATAGGAGAAAATCCAAATTTGAAGGAAAGTAGAATAATCTACATAGAAATTTTGTATCAGCAACCACAGAAAGGAGCACTAAGAACGTGATAGAGAACCAATGATCTAGAGAATGACTAAAACACCCCCAAAATCACCTCTTCCTGTTCAGGAGACAAATCGACTGGCTTTCCATTATACAGCATCTTAACACCATGAGGTTTGTAGGGTGGAGGAAATATAACACCATTGTGCTCAAGGGTTGTCCACTTCTGACCCTCTCCAGATCCAGGTGGCACCTTGAATGACTTAGATACCTTAGAATTTTTCATCGTCTTCTTTGTCACTTTTGCATTCTTAAATGAGGTGGCCTTCACCTTTGTTATGACTTTCTTTGTGGAGGATTGCTTCTCCTTAGAGACCAAATTCTTAGTTCTCTGTGCAATTGGAATATGATCATCGTCATCGTCTTCAGCCTTCACCTCCTTCACAGAAACTTCACGCTTAACTTTTGCAGCACTGTTGTCCAAAAGTTTTGGTTTCTTATTTGATGATTGACTGGGTTTAACAGCATTACCGAGGGGCCTCTTGTTAGAACCATTCTGCTGAAACCTAGAGGCCAAAGGTTTCTCCTCGTCAGAATCAACTTTCAGTCGGGTTGGCTTTGACTGAAACCTTGACATTAACGGTTTTTCATCTTCTGAATCATCAGACTCTTCCTCGGTGTTCGCTTTTGGCTTCTGAGAAACAGACGGTGCGACTGCCGAAGGATTTCGAACAATTTTCGCATTCATACTGCTGGGTTTTTGACCGCCAGAAGAACCAGCAGTAACTCTGAGGCTCAATGGCTTTTCATCTTCGGAATCATCCGAATCTTTGGCTTCACCATGGAGCTTGTTAAATGTTTTGCTTTTCTGAGAAGTGGCAAGAGTTGAAGAACGCCTAATACTTAATGGCTTATCATCATCTGGGTCCTCAGAATCTGGAGTACCGCCATTGAGGTTGTTTGCGCCATTGCTTGACAGGGTTTTCAATTGACTAGGTAAAGCGGCTCTGTTGCTTCTACTTGGTGCACTAGCCCTTCCGGATATAGGGTTTGGAGTTGAGGCAGTCTCCCTTTTCTCACCAGGAGCGCTTCGATCAGAAGCAAGCTTCGCTGAAGGCCTATCAGATTTTTGAGATGACGGTTTCTTCAGTGCAGAGTTTAGTTGGCTCTGCTTGGTCGTGGCGCTGGTTCTCTTGAAAATGATAGGCCGATCGTCTTCATCGTCGTCGTCAGATAAATTCTTGTAAACGGAGTCATGAACTGCCATACTATTCCCTGACTTTTCTCGGCATGTAGGTAGCAGTTAGCTCTGCAATCGACAGCGGTACATGAGAAAGGTAAGCCGATCGGAGAAAATATCACCCACTCGTCAAAGGCAATAAATCTGAAGAAAAATGAAACGAATGCAGAATACATCCGATGGAGTGTGATAAAATCATCGTTCCGACAAGGAGCTAGTCACGAAGAAAACGAAACCAAGCTAACTGAAGACATCCAGATGGAGCAAAGCTCAAATATCACGAAAGAAAAACAGAGCAAGCGAATGAAGGGAGGCGAAGAGCTCCCGAAACCTCCGCAATTAGGGTTTCACAGAGAGCCCAAAAAGAATGTACAGAGGACAAAGAGGGCCACTCCCCCCCCCCCCCCACGCTTAGGGTTTCCAACGAATCCCACGAAGCACACCAATCGCGGGCGAAGGAGGCATGAATTCAACGAATATTTCCTGATTTTTTTCCTACCCAACAATCCGAGCTTCCTCTGCTACTCTCTCCCTCTTCCCTCGTCCGTCCGCAGCTCCTCAGCCCCTTCTCTCTCTCTCTCTCCCTCTCTATTTCTCTTTCTCTGGTTTTCCCGGAAGCCGAGAGCACCAGACAGGACGGCAAAGTACAGTAAAGCCCTTATGCCGTGGTTAAAACTATTTATACCCGCCCGTACTCACAGAGTAATGACATTAATACCCCTGTGGTATTTTGCTTCCATGTTATTGGACGGAAAAAGCAACAGATAACTGAAAACGATCCAATAACCAGAAGTCATGTCCGGGCCCACCTAGTAATGGATCGAGATCGGGCGGTCAGCGACGAGCCTTCTCCTTCTTGATCCATTTTAGGCCGTCCGATTCGAATCGTTGTATCCAAGTTGGATTTTTCGGATCCGATAAGAGGAGCAGCGTAGCCCTTCGTTCACTGCGGGCCACGTGGCATCAAACCCCCGCACTAATTTTCATGGTTGTCCACGTCATCGCTAGACTATAAATTATATTTAATTCCCCAATTTTTCGAGGTAAGTCTGATAAGGTGGCTCAAATTAATGATAGCAGTATATAATCCCAAAATATTTAAATTAAGAAAAAAATGGAAAGAAGACTCTCTCTCTCTCTCTCTCTCTCTCTCTCCATTCTATTCTCATATTAGTATTTAATCCAAATACATTTAAATTAAACAATAATATTGGTAAAGATGACTAAATTACCTTATTATCATAAAAGAAACCCTAATAGCTCTCTCTCTTCTTGTTATATTCTTATATCAGTATTAATCCAAAACATTTAAACTAAATGATAATTATGGTAAAGATGATTAGCTTTCGTATAATAAAGATACCCTAATAGCTCTCTTCTCTCTCTCTCCCCGTTATATTCTGTTTTCAATATATAATCCAACTATAATTAAGCTAAAAGAAAGTTTCATTAACAGGACTAACTTACCTACTCCAAAGAAATCCTAATCTCTCTCTCTCTCTCTCTCTCTCTCTATCCCTGGTACGAAGCCATACAAGCACTGCCAAGCTACTCCATCTGTCCCCACCCACCAGCACTGCCGTCCCTCTCATTGTCCCTACTGGGTACTCTACTTCTGCATATATATATTATGTATCAACCCCAAATTCAAGAAATAAACATGCCACATAGAAGCTTGGAAGCGCGTGGCCGACCAAAGGCGGGATCATTCAAGACGACGATGATAACCCTAATTTAACAAAAACTCCGGGGTTAAGCGTGCTACACCGGATCCCATAAGTGGAAACAGGTCGTAATACTTGCCGGAAGGAGGGGCATTTTTGGTAATGATTGATGTATGTCTACACCAACTATCACCAAAAATGCCCCTCATTCCGGCAATTATTACGACTTGTTTCTGAAGGGGAGCCCTCTCCCGCCTTTGTCGCCAGTCAGACCCATTTCCGGCACTCTTAGGCCAGAGCAGTACTAAGATCCGTCCTAAGAAGGGGTTAGGCCTGCTGGGTACTAATCTCCCACACCTCGAAGGGTAAACTGTCCTTGAAAGCTAGAGCGGTACCAAACTTGGGTAACTCCGCTCAGAAGGGGCTAGGCCTCAAGGTGCAGAGACAAAGCAGTACCATGGCGGGTGACCACCTAGGAAGGTGCTAAACCCTAATCTCTCTCTCTCTCTCTCCCTATCTATCTGGTACGGCACCATGTAAAAACTTGGAAGCCGGGGCAAGCCAGAAAATTGGAATCCATTCAAGGTGACGATGTACGACTACGCGAGCTCGGACAAAATGGGCCAGAGGGCCACAAAAACTAGCAGGGTAAGGGATCGTCACTCGTCCAGCCAGCCACCGGAATGGCCGCGTTGGGGCAGCCAGGGCACGCCACCGTCCCAGGAGCTGTAAATCGCCGCCCTACCGCGCTCGGCATTGTACAGCCCCTCGCGGCGCGCGGCCGCCAGCAGCCCCTCGTACGACGGACCAGCGCCCGGCACGCTGCCGCTGGCGTGGAAGCGGCCCAACTCTTCGTAGCCCCATTTGCCGCCGGCACTGTCGCTCGCCGTCCAGTCATGGTATAAGCTTGAGAGGCCGGCCGTTGCCGCCCTACCAACCACTGATGGAGCCGCACCATGCCCGGCCTTGCCCAGCCACTCGCGACGTAGGGCCGCTGGCAGCCGCTCGTAAGACGGACCTTCACCCGACACGCTGCCGCCGTCGTGGATACGGGCGAGCTCCTCGCCGTAGCTCCAGCTGCTGCCGCCGCCTTCGCCACTCGTCGGACGCTCATGGTAGAATCTGGACGAACCGGCCATCGCCCCAGGCGTCGGCAGCTCATCGCCGTTGCCCCATTTGCCACCGACACTGCCGCTCGCCGGCCAGTCATAGTAGAAGCTTGAGCGGCCGGCCGCTGCCCTGCTAGGCACTGATGGCGCCGTACCATGCCCGGCATAAGCCTGCCCCTCGCGGCGTGCGGGGTCCGTCTCGGCAGGCGTCTGCAGCTCATCACCGTAGGCCCATCTGCTCGCACCACTGCTCGCCGCCAGGTCATGACAGAAGCTTGACGGGCCAGCCGTTACCGCCCAACTAGGCACTGATGGCGCCGCACCATGCCCGGCATAGCCCAGCGTCTCGCGGCGTGCCGGCGCTGGCAGCTCCTCGTCATAGGCCCATCTGCTGCTGCTGCTCGATGGTCGGTCATGGTAGAAGCTTGACGGACCGGCCGTTTCCGCCCCGCTAGGCACTAATGGGGCCACCCCATTCCCGGCATGGCCCGGCACCTCGCGGCATGCGGGCTCCGTCGCAATAGACGTCGGCAGCTCCTCGCCGTGAGACCATCTGTCGCCGCCACTCGCCGACCAGTCATGGTGGAAGCTTGACAGGTCAGTTGTTGCCGCCCCGCTAGTCACTGATGGCGCCGCACCATACCCGGCAAGGCCCGGCACCTCGCGGTGTGTGGGCGCCGTCGCAGCAGGCGTTGGCAGCTCCTCGCCGTAGGCCCATCTGCCACCGCCGCTCGCCGGCCGGTCATGGTAGAAGCTCGACGGGCTAGCCGTTGCCACCCCGCTAGGCACGGAGGGCGCCGCACCATGCCCGGCATGGGCCAGCACCCAACGGCGGGTGGCCGCCGGCAAGGCAGGCGCTGTTGTAGCTGACGCCGGCAGCTCCTCGCCGTAGGCCCATCTGCTGCCGCCGTTCGTCTGTCGGTGATGATATAAGCTTAAGGGCCAGGCTGCGTCTTCTTCTCTGCAGGTGGCTCCTCCAGAAGGGTGGTGCTGGTGATCTGTTCGACTTGGTGGGGAAATGCCCATGTCGTAGGGGGCCTGTTTGTCTCCGGCGAGCGGTGGCTCCTCCGCCGCCACCGCCATCGCTTCGTTTGGTCTCCTCCTCTTACGAGGATTCTCGGCGGGGATCTCGAGATTGGACTTCTCGTGCTCGCTTTTGGAGTGGCCGCGTTCAGCAGCGATGACCCTGTGATTGGCCGTCCAGTCGGGGCGGCTCCACAGGGAGAGCGAAGGAGCTCTCACGTTCCACTGCTCCATCAGCTTGTCTTTCACATCAACCGACCCGGGCAAGTAGAAAGACTGAACATATCGACGAAGGAACGGAGTCATTTAATCAATAATTTTTCAATAGGAATAACGAAAGAGATTACTGAATGAATGCGGGCCATCATGAAAGTCGTACCTTTCCTGAAAGGGAACGCTCGTCCTCCCAAATCAAATCATACGGCACCGCTTTTCTATCTAGCCTGGTGTAATGATCGACACATGTGAATAAAAAATAAAAAATATATATTTTGACACCCAAAAGAAGAAAAGGTATAAAACATCGTAACCGTTCGGTCTCCTTTGGGACGATGAGAATGACAAGCTTAGGCTTGAACTCCAGCACCTTATCTATGAACTTGTTAGCAAGGGCAGCTCTGACGCCAAAAGGTGGGTTGAGCCCCATGATCTGTTTCAAAACAGAGGATTTTGGAATGATTTTTTCGATGTGACGCTAACTCCCTAGTTTTTTTTTTCTATTCTTTTCTAAAGGATAGGAGCAGTACCAGTTGAGATCCTGTGGGCAGCTCTCTAGGGTGGACAGTCATCCAGTCTCTCTTTTCAAAGTTAAAATCGTTCTGCAACAAAAAAAAAGAGCCAAATTCCACCAAATTAAGAAATTCTATGTCGCAAGTACTGACTATTTTGTAGACAGTGAAGGCTGGTGAAAGAGTTAGAATCATCCTGCAAGCTATGGGCAATTGAGTGGGTGGGTGAAGATACCTTTGGTTGAAAGAGGTCGTAGTTTTTAAACAAGCATTTCTTCCCACATCCTCTGAGCTTCTCTCTCATCAGCAGGCTGAAATCATTAGCTCCACAGCAGACGTCAACGATCTGTCAAAACCACTTGCACATTAGAGAAGATTTCCGATAAATATACTGTTCACCATCTACTAGTTTTAAAATTACAGGTATCTGACAATCATCTTCACTACCGTCATCACTGTCATGCCTTATCCCGGAATAAAGGTCAGCTTATAGTCAGTGGAAATCTGAAAGACAGGGGCAGGCTTTACAGTTGGCAATCAATCTGAAATCCCATCGCCAGCTGATACGGTATCAACTGTAACCTCAATGCAGGTGGGTATGTGAGGAGCTTCCCAAATATAGACGTCGAGATTGTCCTGGCTATCAGCGTGGAGCAGGATCTAGAATCCAACCTCTGATACTTGGATAAACGGGGCATATCAGAACTTATATCCAATCTGAATATAAGTGCGGTGTTACTAATAATGAGTGATAATGAGCTTCAATATTTTGTTACACATTATACCTTCACTGTTAAGCTAATGTCACATGCATTGGGATTTTGGCTCTACAAAAAAAGAAGCTTCTGAAGCATATAACCTTTCAAGGTAAAATGAACCAATTACCAAGGGGAGTATTATAGCAAGCATATGCTTCCACCTCTCCTCATGAAGTTGAACTTCATACAGATTCCATATTTGGTGACAAGGTGATCATATAAAAATAATAAAAGTCTAAAATCGATGAGGCATATCCTAAACCTTCCGCGGATCAGTAAATACCGAAAAAGCCAATGCATAGCCGCAAGAAAGCAATGGATGAACACAATGGAGAGTCCTTTTCAAGAAGAGGGCGATCTTTACCATGTCACCGTTCTGTACATACCAATGTAGCTTCTCAACAATCTGCACGAAAATGGTGCATCTGATGAGAAACAGGGGGTTAAATAATGGGATGAAAAATAATCCTACACGAAGAAATATGAGGATTTCAAAATCTTATAATAAGTAAAAAAAAAATGTAACTGGGGAGTGGGGCAGTTGCTTCTGCTATCGGACCCTCACAGGGAGAGTGTGGAAATGAACCCTGTGTGCTCTGGACGCTAACGCGTCACTGAGGTTAATTCACTGCCTGGCCAGTCACATAGACTAGATCTGGGTTTTACCACATCTCCATGTCATAGCATGGCCATTTAACAAGTGGGACAGACAAAGGCAGAGCAACAATAGCTGCCTAAGGCTCAGCAGTGGGCTTCCCCTCTAGTAATAAAAATTAGTAACTAAAACAATAATAATAATAAAAAAGATGAAACACAGAATGACAAATTTGAAAACGGTGAGTCTATAATACATACCTCTTTCAGTTTGTCCACTTTTGTAAAATGACGACCATAAGATGTGTAGCGCATGCCATGGAGGAAAGGTGCGAGGTAGACCCTAAATTTGTTCTGGCCCACATTGAAAGAACAACATATATAAAACCTCCATTCACATGGGATTCATTACAACTTATAGGTAACACTAATGAAGTGCACAGGGGAGATGAATATAATGTGAAAAGAGTGAAATAAAGGTATTATGGCCATCAGCAGGTAGGAGGGACGAGCAAGAAGGCAACTAGAGCATCAGCAACCATTAATAAACTAAGGTAAATATATTAAAGACTAAATATATGCTGAACGAAAAAAAGTGAGCGTCCAGGTAAAATAAGTCATATTAAAAGAAATTTCTCTTATTATGATTTCACAAGTCCGGCAAAAAAAATTTCCTTTAATATCAAATAATTAGTCTTTTTGGGCTAATAAAGACCATCTTTTTTAAGATTTTAGTTCCGAATATAAATACCATCCAGACCATTTTTGAAGATGTCAAATTATATGATTTTTCAGTACTTAACTCTTATTTCCTTGGGGCCTCATTTCTTCCTCCCCTCCCACAAGTACCCCAGGTCTGAGTTGATTTTTCAGTACTTTTAATAACTAGCTCCATTATGCATAACGACTCGCCAACCTAGTGGAGTCCAACGGGGTCTCCCCTGGTTAATAGCATGTTGGTGAAGTTATAGCGTCATAAATAGGAGTTATGGTAGGTGATAGAAAAACTAATGCATATCCCGTCCCAACAAGCTACCCCTTTCATCAACAGCAGCCCCAAAAAATTGACAGAAAAGAGGGAGCGGGGGGACCGTCCAGGTAGCCAAAGCTGTGTAAGCTTCTGCCCAGCCACCTTTGGTAACATAACTCATACATTAATTTCCCGATAGACAAGAATTAGACTATCAAAAAAGAATACTGCGAAAAAAGAAACACAATGGCATAATCAGATAGCACTAAAAATAGATGTCATTGGCTGTAAAGCATAAGATATCTGCTATTCAGAAATTCCAGTAAATTATTTCGTATGCTCGTAGTACTGAAGGAATGGCCATCAGATTGCGCCCATAAATGTTCAAATCTCATACTACTGCAGAAAGCAAAGGAAAAATAATCTGAGGTACCTTCCACCTGAGTATTTGTTTGAGAATATCAGGTCCGCATACAGCTTTGGCATCCTCAATGCTGCAGCCATTTTCTAATTTATGCAGAGCTGCTTGAATAGCCTAAAATATGTTAAAATGCAGATAAAATTATGGCAAATCGATATTCGTTAGGGATACATCGTAGAATAACATATCAATTGAAGGACAGACAACCTCAATCGCACCCTCAATCTTTCCCCGTGTTACGTTCTTATCGATATATCTTGCATTGCATGCATGAGTAGTCAGCGCAATTTTCTTTTTCAATAAATTTTCTGTTGTCAATGACGTGGAAGATTCTTTATTTACCAGAAGCATGATTCTGCATAGCAAGCTCACCAGTCAAAACATTCAACAAGCTCAAGCATGGCTTGCTTTGCAATGAAAAAAAAAAATGAAGCCCAGACACAGTCAGGTAAAAATAACAGAGGCCCTTGTTTTCCAGGGAAATGATAGAGAAAATAAACATACCTTTTTCTGGCTTCACTTTGTGCTAGAGCAGGTGTGATGTTCAATTTCTGGCCGGGGAAGGGAACACCGCATTTCTCTTTTTCCTCAGTTTTTGAGGTGTTCGAATTGTTATTTATCTCTGATGAACATGTCTTATCATCCCTTACAGGAATATTCCTCTCTGGAACAGACTTCTTCTTTCTGATACCTTCTGACAAAGTTCTCGACGTATCAGGAAACGTTGAATCCTTAGAATAGCCATGAACTTGCACCGAGGAAATGCTGCCTCTTGCTTCCAAAGTAGATGGCTCTCTTGTGACTGTTTCTTTCACCTTGGGAAATCTTTCTCTGGACACTTCAGTTTTTTTTTTTGCTAAAACTTTGACTTTGCTTGAATGTGAAAGGTATTTTCTTTTGTTCTCAACAATTGGGAATAAAATATGGTCTCGTACTGGTGTTGAAATAGTCTCATCAATCCGGTGATTCCTGACAAAGTGAATATGAGGAATAGTAAATTAAAAGGAAATCCACTGATCTTGAGGCCAACACACGATACACATTAAACATTTACAAGCAGTATATCAAGATCCGGTTCGGAATCAGCCCATCCCAAGCCCTCTGTTTGATGCCTTCTTCTGGAATATCCTCAAGTGAAATTTTCCTGCATGTGATTTACATCATATGGTAAGGATGAATCAAAAGAGGAACCCCATAAACCAGCGCAAGGAATTTTAAGAAGAAATACCTAGGCAAGCATTTTCTGTGATAAGACTTCGGACAACGTCTACACATGGCAAATTGCAACTCCGTAACGTTTTTATTTTCACCTTGGTTGCAAACTATACATTTATGAACAGAGCAGGTAAATGATTCCCCAGAAGCGATCATTTTTTCTAGTTCAGTTGCTTTAGCTTTACTGTCTGGATGAATTAGACTTGCAGCACAATGAGGATGATAGTAATGGCCACAAGATGCAGATATGCAACGAAAAACCTGAGAGTCATGAAAGAAAGGTCACATTATGTTATTTTATCTCTTCACATTATAATGTGAAGAAGTACACTCATGTCTAAACAGAGAATCATGCCTGCCAACAGGTTAAGAGATCCTTAAACAAAGGGGCAAAATGAAATGAAAATGGAGGCAGACGTACGATCCAAAATCCATACAAAGGAAAAAAATAAAAGAGAAATTTAAATTACTAAAATAAAAAAGGGGAAGATTAAATTGTCACATGGGTCAAACCTCTGGATCAGACTTATTATCAGAATTCCCCAGTTTCCCACAAGCAAAACATTGATGTTTCTTTTGTAAACAATTTGGACAAAAGAAATTCTGAATATCCTGCATTTTGAAAAGAAAGAAGTTAAAAGATGCTGAAAAACAAAAAAAACGAAATACAGGCCCTATAAAGAAAGACTTACATGCACTTGTGCTCTAGTGTATTTTAGAGTTTCACAGTGTGAATCAACACCTGCGTCTCTGGTAGCATGAAAGGATCTAAAACACTTTCCTTCACAACTGCATTCAAAAAAAGGAACAAATCATTTACGATTTCATACAAGTAGGCATTCGTACTGGGTTAATAACTATCCCTCATGTACTTGACAAAGATTTATAAAGTAGGATAATATACGGCTAAAACTATTATTTCGGTCTTATATTCTGACGTAAATGCTCATCTCTTTGCGTCCTAATCATTTTTCTCCTTCAGAGTAATAATAATGAAAAATCAAACCTTCAGTGGATTATAGGGAAGATCTCCAGTTTATAATATTTCAATCGTATTCACAAGAAAACCTCAGCTAATTTGGAACAGCCTAACCCTGTTCAGGGATTCCAATGACTCAAATCTCCTCCATAAGTAGTTCCAAAAGCCACCTAGATAAAATGACCAGTGAGCCATGCCATGATGGAGGAATATACGGAAGACATCAGACGACAAAACAGCCCTACTCTGAATCATGTGACAAAATTTGGAACAGAGAGGGGCAAACTGAAAGATAGAAAACTGTTTGGAATATTTCACATAGGGAATTGTGTGAATAAGTGCCAAATGTAAGACCACAACAATCCTTACCACAAAACTTCACCCCCATTATCACAGATCGCACAAACAGTGTCGAAACAGTCATCTCCATCATCGTTCTCAGCATCCTCATCATAACTAATAAGGTCGCCATCATTGATAAATCCTATTTTCTGTAACTTCTAACCAACATGAAGATTTGGCAGACCATCAATATGACAAATAAACCATCTGTCAGGATCTGATACATCATCCTTGGTAAATGAAGTTGATGAAGACAGATAGTAATACTAACCTTACTGAAAGTGCATATTCTAGGCAAATCATCAAGATATCTGCACAATAACTGCTCACACAAAATGAAACAGTTTTAGAGAGAATATATAAAGTAGATTCTAAGATAAATGAAACAGTATTCATCCCACTAATGTATTATTGGCAATATAATGAAGGAGGGCAACAGATGGGTTCATGGTGGAAGGAAAAATTCTCCTAATCTCTCAAAACTCCATAACTCCAGTATCTTGGACGAATTTAACCGCATATATAGGTCTTCTCATTGAGAAGTTACTGGGCTTTTCCGCCGACTTTTTGGATCAACTTAATGTCATCAAGAAATTTTTGTTCGACTCTTGCGATTCGTAACCCGATTCTCGACTATAGATGATGAGGTATCGACCATTACTAGCGAAAGAGCCTCGAGAGACTCTTCCTGCTTATTGCAAGCAACAGAAAGATGGAGTCAAAACTACCTCTAAAACCGTTGTTGTGCAAGCCTGAAACTTACATCTGTGTCCATACATTCAGGCACTCAAATGAACTCAAAAATGCCGAAGCTCTTGACATTTATCCTCCTCTCCCTTCAACAATGGCACTATGGTCTCATGGTATCCACAAAAAACTAGACTCCTGAAGGAAATGACGAGGTAACTCAAGGAATTTAACGGGGAGCGATCCTTAGAAACTAAAGAGTTGTTATCTTTTTCCGTGAAGAATTCTACAAATTACATCTCTCTAACAGCAGAATTCAGAGCTTTGTCAACAGGTTTTGCATGGATACTACTACGTTTAAGTCAAAAATGTTTGCAGAACTCATTCACACAAGCTTTTTTCCATTATTCTGCAACAGTGAAAGGATTTCAGCACACATTTTGAAGGGCATCATGATCCCACCATGCTCATTTACTGCGAAATCAAATGACGTGGCACATCCTGTTGTTGATCATTCTTACAAATGAGAAATTTAAACAAAGAATAAACAGCCTCCTCTCCCCCAAAGGAAAGCCCGTGTAGTTCTTTTGAGTAATACGTACAGATTACATTATCTTTACAATTAGATTTAAAAACTTTTTCAGCAATTGGATTCGATATTTTTCCAAAGAATTGCTAGTATCACCTTTCATGGAAGGCTTGCTCAAATTGTGATTCCCAGTTGTATTTGATATAGAATAAATTTTCAAGATCAGCCCAACAGTAGAAAGAATGTATTATGAAATATTGCCTTCTAGGAGAAGTCGAAGAATGTATTTTATAAATTCATTTTTTCACAAAATATCACCTTTACCACTGAAAATAAAATAAAATATAGGCTTCTGGTGAAAAAGTCTGCAAACTACTTAGTATTCCCTTAATATTTTCCAGAAAAACTCAGTAGGTGACCAAAATCCAGGACAATTCTATGCATGTTCAACGAATTGTGAAGTTCTTTGAACCTAGAATGCTTTCAAGATCTTAAGGAAATCATTAGACAGGCTTAGAGACACTTTGATGTCATAGCAGAGAAACCTGTCTTTGATACCCAGATACCAGATAATAAACATCTATAATCTTCGCTCTTAAAGGAAATAGCAATGGTGGTAGTACCTGTGATCTTAATAATTTTTTGTCTCTCTTAACCATCATCTTAATGAATCCAAGATGATTTAAAAGATCCTTCTTAGAGGCACTAACTTCAGAATGGCTGTACATTTAGGCAATAACAAAAAAACATAACGTGAGAGGGTGGTGCATAGAAATAACATTGATTAAAATTAAGAATGAAAAAGGCCATACCTGAAAATACCTTGCACATTTTCCCACAGAGATTTTTCTGATGAGGTTGGATTTCTCTTTAGGTAGTGGAGGCACCGTAAAGTGACCAGGATACTTCTAATTGTACCTTCATAAGCTTTACGCGGTTTCATAAGCTTGAACCTTCTTTGGTTCCTCGAGAGGACACATACTTCAGGACATGCGCCCTGGATGTCCACTATCCACGCCACAACTTGCTTGTAGATTTTCTGAAGACCATCATCAACTTTGCCGTGCAGGAAAAATTGGCTCTTAGGGACATCCAGGCTCCCACTATCAGGCCAGTGGATAGGCAAAGACGAGAAGCATATAGGCTTGTCCTCCTTGTCCACGAGGTGGTATTCTGTCACTGCTTTTGACACACGCGTCTCAGCACATCCTTCATCTGAGCTTGTTTTCCTCTGTTCGGAAAAAATGAAACAACAAAAAACTGAGAGTTTTTACAGTCTCCACTTCTCACCCTAAAGATTCATAAATCAAATGGTAGCACGAACAAGCATGCAGCGAGATACCTTTCAGGAAAACGGAAAGGTTAAAATATCAAAAATGATTAAAGGATGTTTCCTCAGGGATAACTATTAAGAGTTGAGGACAGAAGGATGTTTTCTCAGTGTGTCAAAAGATCGAAAAAAACAATGATCTGATCTAAATCCTCAATGGTGCAACGAAGCATCCAATGACAAAAACGTAAGATCATCTTTACCACCATCAGATCGACGGTCGCCTTTCAACTTCCAAGAAGACCACTCCCAAGGACAGGGTAACGAAAACCTTCCTGTCACGACCGACGACCATTCTTCCGGCTACTGTCTCATTGAGGAGCAAACGGTCAGCTCTCAGACATCAACGCAACGCGGTCCTTCAAAAACCAATCCACAGACGCACTTGCATGCTCCGCGCACTCCCATTGGATCACGCACTTCAAACAATAACCCTAAAGAACGAGGAAGAACGCCGCAAGACGACGCTCAAAGCTGCATGGTTCTTGACACCATCAACCCGACATGCTTGAAAACTAGGTTTTCAAGGGAGATGCCGATAGCAGTTACCTCTCCCGAACGGAGGAGATGATGGAAGAGTCTGGTGCTGCCTGAAGGGGAGGAGAAGAACTGCCTCGAGAGCGCGAAATGGATCGACAGTAAGAATTTAAAGAACGACGAGGATGGCCTCAGCCTCGAGTAGAAATCGATTTGCATGTGCATCGACGAAAAGCGCTACCATTCGTTGAGAAATGCCAGTTGTTGAGTTCTTATTTGCTGACACCCTGAGTTACACGGCGGTTTCGGGGACTCTATTCCCCCACGAACGAGGTGGGAACACGAAAAGGCCCGAAAACCGGCAACGTCAGGCCGGGAATACCGTTTCGATCGGACGGTCCATGGGGGATCTTTCTGCCACGTGGGAGTGCCTTGGAAGCTCTAGTGATCTGAGCGGCTAAATTTTAATGATTTTCTCTCTCTCAGTAGTGATAATGGATGGTAAAATCGTTAATAGTAGTGATTCAGTGTCATTTATAAAAAGTCTATCAACCGGCATCCCCTGGTAGTACCGGATGACACAGCGATCCCTCCGCCTGCCGCGTTTCCTTCCCGCCGCTTCTTTGCCGCCTTCGTCGCCGCTGCCGCCGCCGCCGGTGACGTTTTGAACGATGGAGCTCTCTGGTCAGCGGCAGTGGACGGTTGACCCCGACCTCGGAGTGCTGGATGTGGACCCCGACGAGGCGCTGCCGTCGATGCCGCTAAAGAAGGTCCCTGCCGGCGACATCTACGAGGCGGCTCGGGCGGGGGACGTTGACCGACTGTCGTACCTGATCGAGTCCGGAGTCAACGTCAACGCGCGGGACAGATGGGACTCTGTGCCGCTCTACTACGCCTGCCTGGCGGGGCACGCGGAGGCGGCGCGGATGCTCCTCCGTGCCGGAGCGATTTGCTCTGAGCGTACGTTTGACGGCGATCGGTGTCACTACGCAGCACTCAATCTCCGGATCCGACGACTTCTCAAGGCCTTCGAGACGCGGCCGCCGCCGATGGGACCGCTGCAGGCGGCTCTGAGGGACACTTTCCTTGGGTGCCGGGCTAATAGAGCCTACCTGGAGCTGTGTGACGAGGCAGGGATGGCAGGTCTGGCTGCACAAAGTTCAGATGTAAAAATCTGGTTTATTCCCTTCCTAGTTGTATTCTACTTTCGCGCTTGTTTATTACTCACAGTTACTTGTCTCTAACACGATTGCAATACATTTTGCTGGACTGTGAGTGAGGGAGATCGTCGAATTGATCCCTTTACCAGAGTTGAACTCTCTCGGCCCCGGTGAATCGTAAAATTGGAGAAGAGTCGAATCCGAAATTTCCCCAGAAATCTGCTTGCATTGATTGTCAGGCTTTATATCTGTCATATTGTAGGTTTATAACTAAAGTTGTCTTCAATAAATCGGCTACTTAAATGGTGCATGCTTTCACCTGATGAATTCGTACGAAGAAAAACCCACCTTGCCTTGTAAGAGGATGGGCTGAATTTCATCGAATTCTATGTAAGACACAAGGAGTGATCTATCTCAGTTCCATAAAAGTATGATAAAATATTGCAACGTTTTTTAGAGGCTATTCTGAGTTACATCATGAATAAGGATTGTATTGTTTTACCGTTGGGTTTTGGCTCCATGTTATCCTGTTCTCACATTCAAAATTTCTTAAGGCATTGTGTGGCTTTGGTGTTGATCTTATAATACTTGTGAAACGATCCTTAGCTGGATAATCCAACCCTAAAGATTCCTCCAATTGAGTTCAAATTTCTGTAGCAATATATTCCAAGTTGGAGGTAGGCCTGTAGCTTTAGTACCTGTACATCAGGTAAATTTCAATGAAACAACTTCTTTGGACATGTGCATGAAATAGATTTCCCAATACTCTCCAATCAACACTCTATGGCAATGTGTCATCCTCATTACTTGTACTTGTCAACCTGTGACTGGTTGGATTGCTTGTGGACAACTTTTCAATACTGACCTATCAAAAATCTTGGTGATGCTATCATGTGAACCAAGTAGAATTTTTAAGGTGATAGGCAGTGGGATTGAAAAATATCATATCAACCAAACAACTTAATATCGTACAACTAGGGAGTAAAAATGGTCCGGGGGATCTTTCAACTACAATTCATATTCAAAGGAAGGAAGATGCCCAAAGCACCTTAAAATTGGCAAATAAAAAAATGAACCCGAAACCTTCTGACCTCCTACAAATCAACTAATTATAGACAATTCCTTCTGCATTGGAAAAATTAACTAAAAAATATGAGGAAAGACATGGAGAAGAGGGTTCATCTCACTCTGGAGACTACTCATACTTGTTTAATATAAATAATGATGCTGATTAAGATGATGGCTGAATAAGATTGTGTTTATTAATAAATTAAAATTATTATTGTGCAGATAATCATCTTCATTGATATAGAGAAAAATATTTTGCCACTGGGAGGTTTGCTATATTTTGCTCAACCCAAGATTTCGTAAATGTGATATCTTGCTGCAGAGTTTATATAAGTATGCATCTTGAGACTACAGAAAAAACTTACAGGAGATTGACTTCATAAACATCAAATTAATAAGTTATGTTGTTGTTCTTTTGGAATCCGTCTATAAGGAAAATGTCAACTTCGTTCTTTCTATCTCTCACTTCTGTGTATGTATCTGATCTATACCTCTTCTAATCTTATATATCTCCATTCTTCTGTTCGTTTATTTTGATTCTGAAGAAATTTTCTGAATGTTTTTTAGTTAAACCATCGAATAATTTGTTCTGATAACCACTAATATGGGCAGGTTACCATGCATCAGATGATAGATCTGATGGCTCGTTTCCTCCAGACGTGACGTTCTTCGTTGGTGGTAGACCACTCGAAGCTCATCGACTAATTTTGAGTTCTAGATCACCATTTTTTAAGAGAAAATTTGAGACAGATTGGAAAGACCGTAATGAAGTAAGATTCGCAGCAGGAAAGTTGTCATACCCTGCCTTCTTCAGTCTTGTCCACTTCTTTTATTCTGATAGACTTGACATCGCAGTTGATGACATGGATGATCTTGTACGCGTGTGCAAAGCTTGCAAGTGTGAGGAATTGCAGAAGGTCATCGAGGCTGAACTGAGGCACCAAAAGAACGCAGATTATAAAGCATTGAAAGAAGTAGACAATTCTCAGAAAAGGTTCATACTACAGGGATCATCCCTCCCTGAGCAGGACAGGCTACCTTCTGCCATGTACCGTGCACTACAAGTCTCCCTTGCAAACTCAGATACAGAAAACATGAACACGCAGTTTCATGAGGACCTTGCAGATATATGCGTGAAAGTAGACAAAGAGATCTTCCGATGTCATCAAGTCATCTTAGCCTCTAGGTCAGAGTATTTTAAAGCAAGATTATCACGCATGACAGGATTTCTTGAGGGTAAAGGAGAATTATCTCTCATGACTCTACCATTTCTCGAAGAGCATGGTCTCAGCACTGAGGCATTCGAAAAGGTTATAGAATATATGTGAGTCTCAACTTACTATTGTCTCATATTTCTTGTTATAGTATTCCTATTAAACATTTTTATCAAATATTTAGGTACACCGATGCTCTGAAGGAGGTAGACCCAGATCAGGTTCTAAGCATGCACAAAGCTGTGGCACTCTGTTTTCTTCGTCCAATATTCATCAGTGTGCTTATAGTTTGATCTCTTCTTGATCAGGCTGAAGAACTGTTTGATGCTGCTTCAAGGTACCTTCTGTTTCCACTTAAGCGTGCTGTGGCTGATGTGCTATTGCCACATTTAGAGCTGGCTTCACCCGCAGAACTGTGCCACTGGCTTATATTATCAGACATGTATGGTATCCATTGACTTTTTCTAGTATTTAATTTATGCCTACCGTCGACTGTCTCTCTATTCAATTTTATTTGTTGTGTATGATTCCCTTAGTTTTTTTTTTTTCAAGGTATATCTTTGCTTTCATATCTTCTACGGACATTTGATATTTATAATTTTTTAAAAATATTTCGCAGTCATAACCCCATGAAAACGATGGATAAAAACAAGGGTTTGACTGGCTTTCTCACAATCACCCTCGTGGCACCCTCCACACCCCATTTAGCTATGGAGTTCCTGCATTACCCTAACGTAGTCCAACGTCATCCTCAGGTACGGGGTCTTGAAGATGAGGGAGTACTGTCTGGACACCATCGCCTGCAACTTTGAGACCTTCGCTGACACCCGGGCATTCAGGGCGCTCCTCCTTACCCTCCCGCCGCCATCGGGGGACTCCTCCCTGCGAACCACACTCCCCAGTGCCCCTGGCTCGGCGGTCAACTCTGGCGAGGGGAACATCCTCGACGACCTGCGCGAGAAATGGTTGGAGGCTGAGGCCGCCGACCTCGACCAGCGGGACGAGAGCGCCGCCCTGTTTGACCGGCGGCTGGCGGCGCTCCTCCTCATGGCCGATCAGGAAGCTCAAGAAGCCCCAGATGATGATTATGATGACTGAAACACATGATGCTGGCCATTGTCTACCGGTCAACCCCAACGAATGAGGTGCTTCCATGATCTGAATTCTTTTCCTCTGCTGCTCATTTTAGGAGGGGTCAAAATTCCCTCGGATTTGACTTTTTGATATTCAGGTAAAGTCAACGATGTAGGAGGGTCAGCTACCTGTTTGGCTTTGGGCTTCAGCCGCCGGTAATTCTATGATTTGAATTCTTTTCCTCTACTGCTCATTTTAGGAGGGGTAAAAAATATCTCGGATTTGACTTTTTGATATCCAGGTAAAGTCATTGATTTAGGAGAGTCAACTACCTGTTTGGCTTTGGGCTTCAGCCGCAGGTATTTCTATGATTAAATTCTTTCCCTCTACCGCCTATTTTAGGGGCTCATCAAATTTGTAGTCTATCTCTCAGATCTCACTTTTTGATATTCAGGTAAAGTCAACGGTATTTAAAACAAGGGTCAACTAGCTGTTTGTCTTTTGACCTCAGCCATGGTGAGTTCGTCCTTCGGAATGTACACTTGGCGAGATCAGGGTGGATTAAGTTGGTATAATGTTTGAAATCTGCATGTCTGTTGAAAAATATAAATTAATTTGTCTAGAATTCTCACACTGCCACGGTAGGCGTATATTCCATATAGTATTTAATAATAACATATTCCATATATTCTCTTAATATTTATTGTTCCCTAATTTTAATTAATTATGGATGATGATGACGTTGGGGGACGTGGGTTTTACTAGGCGACAAAAAAATCGTGTTCATTTCAACGAAATCCACGTGGCATGACAGGCAGCCGACCTGAAAATACGCTCACCATTGGGTAAGAATACCGCTTCCCTTCAACTGAGGGGATCAGGCGGTGACCGGAAGTGGTGCAGGGGCGTAATTATCGAATTGTTTGGGTTGTTGCGTCAATCTCTCTCCTCCCCCTGCCATACCCATTATTTAATACGAAGAAAGCAACCCTCGATGGACCCCATTCTCGCAAGTATCCAAAGGGGGAGGAGAGAGAAACAAGTTCAGAGAGAGAGATAGAGACGGAGGTCCAGAGCGAGAGAGGGAGAGAGCCGAGGAGAGAGATAGAGAGAGGGAGAGCGAGGCACAGAGAGAGATAGAGAGAGGAGAGAGAGAGAGAGAGAGAGAGGGGAGGGCGGGCGAAGGTGGGTTGGTTTGATTTTATCGTTTTCCCTCCTCTGCAGGCTTCCCGTTCTTCCCGCCGTGGGATTTTTTTGACAGACGTTGGTGGGCAGCGATGGTGTCGGACCAGGAGATAGCGAGCTGCGTTGAGTCCCTGCTCCGGCAGTCGGGCCCCGGCGGTCCGGTGACCTCCGTCAACGTCAACAGCGTAGTCCAGCAGCTGGAAGCGAAATTAGGGTTTGACCTCTCCCACAAGGCGGGCTTCATCCGGGATCAGATCAACCTGCTGCTCCGGCCGGCATTGCCGGCCCCTTTCAAGGATAATCGCATCGCCGTCAACCAGCAGCAGCAGCAGCAGCATATCCAGCAGCAGTTCATCGGCGGACAGCCCCACCAACTTCTCCAGCACCACCAGTTTCCTCCGTCCCCATTTACTCACCTCTCTCCGCAGGACGAGCTCACCTTTCGCAGCGCCCCCTCGGCAGCCATGCAGTCTCACCAACTCCTCCAGCAGCAGCCGGCACAGGTGCAGGCGCAGTCGCATCCCGCGACCGGTGTGCCGTCGATTGCGAAGCAAGAAGTGCATTTTGCCTCCGGCAACTTGGCGCCCACTGCGGCGAAAGAAAGGTGCTTTTATTATACGCCATCTCGTGAAATAGGTTTCCGTTCGCCAGAACTGTTTCCTAGTTTTAAATTGTGGAAGCTAGAATACCCAGTCTCTGTTGGAGACTGGGACCTATTTTACATGGTTTACGTTTTGACGTCACAGTCTTATGTCACACGGTCGCTCCTTTGTTTTGCTATACGCAGTTTGCAAATCAAATAAGTACATCTGGAGAACCATGCAGGAGATTTAGTTAATAATGTTTTCCGCCAGATTCAGCGAGAAAGCCCACTGAAATTCATGTAAGAATTTATTGGGTCTGAGTAAGAGAAAAAAATAGTGTGACCAACTTACTTTTTGTTTTCGGAAGAAATAATTCTGTTAATGTTACGCAAGACATGCAGATGGATGAAAGAAGGTACCTTTTAGCATGATGCAAGGTACATGAAAAAATTATTGCTGACGTAAAGTGGTACTCATTCCCCTGAACTTATCAATTATATAGGTCCCCATGATTCCCAATTTCTCTGTTTATTCAGGCCAGTTAGCCCCATATTGAAAGTTGTTATGTGTGTCTACTAACTAAATCTCTAAAACGTGGAAATCTTTTTGTTCTCCAAAGGCGTCTTTTCCATGTTTAATTCATCAATATTGGAACAGAAAGAATTGGATATCTGCAGCATTTAGTAAGGAGGCCTTGGATATCCAGCCATAAAATAATCTTCAACCGCACTTCAATAATCCTTCATCCCAAAAGAGGTGATTATAGTCTTCTTGGGCACCGCACACATAATTGTCAATATGATCTGAATTCTACGACTTCTATCTTTTTCATGTGGGTTGAAATTTCCCAACTTGAATTTTTCCATGTAAAAATCACATGGAAGGGAATATTCATGATTCTATAGAGTTCAATTCTCTTAGCATATTTGAACGCTATAGAATCAATTTTATAGTTTAGTTATAATTTTTTGAGCGTTTTTAATTAGGTGAGAATATTTTTTTCGAAGTAATCTCCTGCGTTCACTGAAAGATTTAGTTTCACTCCAAAATTTGTTTAAGTGAATGATTGACTGATAAAGTGATTATTTCTATTATGAAATATGGTTCAGCTTAAGAATTCACCATGCGGTTGTAATTTTCAATTGGACTAGCTTTCAGAATACTGCCTCCTGTGCCTGTGCAGTTACTATATGCTCATTTCGTAGTTTTAAGAGTATAAATTCGTATTCAAATCATCCTGCATGTTCATCCGTCCTTTTCATTGTATTCAAACTTCGATGACAAAAGGATCTTATCGTATCATGGCTATTAGTTGACAAACTTTCCCTTTGGATATGCAAATGAAGTCAATGGTAAGGTTGTGTTTTATCTTACAAGAGAACACGATTAGTTCTCCTTTTTGGTACGCATTTTCTGTACTCAAGTCATAAACGATATGCTTCTTGTCTGTTTATAGCTGTACTTAGCCATGGATCTTTGTTCGTACACTTTGGTTTTTTTTTTCCACATTTGCCTGGTGTTTTCAGTTGTTTCTTTTTTTCTGTTGCTCAACATCACGATTTTCCCTGGATTGTCTTTCCTTCTTTCAGTGTTTCTCTAATATTTCTTGGATTGTCATTTCACCATCCATTTTATCTCTTAATCTTCTGCTCCTCATACCTACATTTCTCTCACTAAATATTCCTTCATAAGTCCTTTTTTTTAACAATCTGAAAATTAAAATAACTAGTTTCGATAGAGAATTAAGATATTTCATGTATAAGCTTCAGAATATTATTGGAGAATTAACTTTCCCCGAACAATGCTTTTATTTTTAAAAATTTCATATTTATCTTTCTTGCTCAAGGGCTCTCCTTTTCTATTTATTGAAGATCAGTTCCTGTTCAAATGCACTTTATTTATTTGATTCCTATTTATGGAACAACTAGATAGTGATAGTCAGTGGCCTTATTTGGAAATTGCTAGATATTTTTTTGGGAAAACCCAGTTGAATGAACCATATTTGTTTGTCGTTTAAAGTTGATTTCTCACTATTTTTGAATCTCAGTTCTTCAACTGGATCCAAAAGAAAAGGTGGCTCTGGTGGTCTGAGTAAACTCTGTGGGGTTTCTCCTCAACTTCAGGCTATTGTTGGTGAGCCGGCCTTGCCAAGAACGCAGGTTCGTCATCTTCAATAATTTTCTTTTCTCACTTGGCTTTCCCCGTATGAATATATCTGTTGATACCTATAGGGTTTCCAACTTTTATCACATGTTTAATATATGGTTGGTTCAGATTGTGAAGGAACTTTGGGCATATATACGAAAGAACAACCTCCAAGATCCCAACAACAAAAGGAAAATCATTTGCAATGATGAGCTACGGTTGGTTTTCGAGACTGATTGCACTGACATGTTCCAGATGAATAAGCTTCTAGCAAAGCATATACTCCCCCTTGAGCCATCAAGTATGCAATGTGTTTTGTTGTAAAAGGAATATCTGGTGTTATGCCGTGATGGGTAAACTGGATCAACGAGACTTGAAATGCTGTAATTGTTTGCAGAGGAACCGAGTAAGAAAAAGCAGAAGGCAACGGAGGCGGCTCCTGCTACTGAAACGGATGCTGGGCAAACTCTGGTTATGGTTTCTGACGAGCTCGCAAAGTTTTTTGGCTCTGGAGAGCGGGAAATGCTCCAGTCAGAGGCATTAAAACGTGTCTGGGACTACATAGATACTTATCAGTTAAAGGTTATAACTACATCACAGCCTCGTTATTTATCTGTCATCATTTTTCTTTTTTTTTTCTTGCTTTCATCTAGCCTTGATATTTGGTAATTTCTTTTCCGTATGCAAACGTGGAGATTTTTCTTGGCTGTGGGTCATGGAGGTTCCTCATTATTTACTCTGATTGGTGATTATTCACCCTTGCTACATCTTAGGAACAACCTTCCTTCCCCTTTTAATTTCTGTTTCATACTAATACTAATCCACACTGATCATATACACAGTCCTCAACCCCGTTGTTTATCTTAGATTCGGGTTTATTAAGCTATGCATGTATTTCCTTTTTTCCTCTTTTTCTTTAATGCCCCTGTTTAGTTCCCCAAAAAGGGGGGCATAATGGAAATTAAGAAATTTTAGAAGCTTTTCTCCTCATTGTGATTATGTTCCTCTCCCCTTTTTCGCTCCCTATACACTTCTTATTTACGCCTAGAAAAAGGAAAATAACCAACAAAATTAATCAGGAAAAAAAAAAGAAGTGAACACAGCTCTTCCTCGTCATTGTTTCTTCTTATTCGTTGATACCTGATTAGTAAGAAAATTGAAGTACTCAGGTAAAACATACTGCTGATATTTGGATATGATTTTGTATTTTTTAGGATCCGCTGAATCCAAAGATGGTCCGGTGTGATGCAAAACTTCAACAACTATTTGGATGCGAAAGCCTTTCTGCTTTAGGTGTCTCTGAGATGCTGGCTAGCCATTTGTTCAAGCAGTCGTGATTAATTAGTTAACAGGTTTGCTCGCTCTTAAATTTCTTCTCCACTCCAGATCAATTACAATCTTTATATTTAGTATTATTTCATCACTGTCTCCCCTCAACAAGGCTTGAGCTTGGTGATTGATCACACCGCAGCTCTCTGATTATGATTGGATTGTTCAGCTGATGGTTCCCAAGGCCGCCCTCCATCCACAGTTTTCCACCAGCTATTGCTGCTCACCAATTACGATCCATCAGATGAATATTAATCAGACTGATTGAATGCTCAATCCATGAAATTTTACTCCATTAACGTGCCAAAAATTCGCCTTCCAAACAAGGAATTTCCCACGGTTTTATGTTTATCATGCCCTCTGGTTGACATGCTTACTATATCTGGTTTCCATGCTGTCAGATTTTGATAAACCTCGCCATTTGTTTTTTTTTGAAGTTCTTGAAAAGTGTCTTGAATGGGAAGAATCGGCTCATTATATTGGGATTTCAAGCACAGTCTTCATGCTAACATTCATGATCCTCTTCCAGTAGAACATCAACTATGTGTTCATTGGGCTACCAACTTTACCCTTTTTATGATTTGAAGAACTGATTTTTTTTCGCCACTTTTGTTAAATGGGTGTACACTTTTCCTCGCAGTTAATCATTTTTTTTCTTGGTCAACCATGTTCACCATCCCCTTATAATACCTTGCAAATATTTTTCTAATGGCAGCAGCTCAATCGACCCATCTTTGACTTGCAGATACCACCGCCCCCGCTGCCGTCCAGTACACCTGATGCCCTAACGAGATGACGCCTTTTGTTTTCCCTCGGTCGTTTCCCCTTTGTTATGCACTGACCCGAGACTGCGGATGGCTTCAATTCTTGTAGACAAGATCCCCTGCCCTGTTCTTCCCCTTTTTCCTTGTTCGTGTCCTAGATTATCGAGGATCAATGAATCTCTTTTTCAAAGTGCTCCCATGCTTTCCCGTTCCCATGTTTTTTTGTTTGATGAAAGCATGAGAGAGCCTCCAAGAAGGAGGAGAAGAAGAACAAGTTGCTTAAAGAAGGTTGTTTTATCCTAAACTAGTGATGATCAATCAATCCCTTTTTCAGAGTGCTTCTGTAGATTTCAGCTCCCATGTTCTTTCTCTCTCTAAAGAAGGCATGAGAGACCTCCAAGAAGAAGAACAAGTTGCTTAAAGAAGGTTGTTTTATCCTAAACTAGCAACGATCGATCAATCTCCCCTCCTCTTCAGAGTGCTTCAGGAGATTTATTCTCATCTCTTTTCTCTCTCTAAATAAAGCATGAGAGAGCCTCCAAGAAGAAGAGCAAGTTGCTTAAAGAAGGCTGTTTTATGCTAAACTAGAGGCGATGGATCTATCCCCTCTTCAGAATGCTTCAGGAGATTTAGTTCTCATGTTTTTTTCTCTCTCAAAAGAAAGCGTGATTGAGCCTCCAAGAAGAAGATCAAGCTACTTGGAAGAATGTTGGTTAGATCCTAATCTAGGAAGAGGATCAATCCAGAAAGCATGAGAGGGCCTCCAAAGAAGAGGAACAAGTTGCTTAAAAAATGGTGGTTTTATGTATCCTGCATGGTCTTCCTCTCTCGTCTTGCTTGCCAGGTGGTGGCGGGCGCTCTTCCCAACCACTGGTCCAGCGCAGGCCCGCGGCCATGCTTCCAGGCACCTGGCTTACCACGGCGGAGGACGCTCGTCAGGTCCTCGCTGGGGGGCCGGCGGCGGCGCCTCCATCACTATAAATAGTCCCCCGCCCACCGGCGAGCCCACATCTGTAAAGGGCGTTCCCGCGAGAATATGGGATGGGGAAGGGCCGAGCTTGCGGCGGCGTTGGCCGTGGTGGCGCTGGCGGTGCTAGGCGGCGCCGCCGGGGGGGCGGGGGCGGGGACGGGGGGAATGGAGGGGCTGGAGATATGCAATATGGACGCGGAGCAGCTGGCGGGGTGCCTGCCGGCGATGCGCGCGGGGGCGCCACGCTCACCGAGTGAGGCGTGCTGCGCGGCTTTGGGGGCGGCGGACTTGCCTTGCCTGTGCCGGTACAAGGGGAACGTACTTCTGAGAACCGTGGGGGTGGACCCAGAGCTCGCCGCGGCGCTGCCGGGCAAATGTGGCATCGCTTCGCCGCCGGAGTGCAGCGGTAAGAGTCCACCATCTCTTCACTCTCTCTCTCACATTCTCTCGCTGTGGTCCGACTCACTGTTTGACACCCTTTGAAAAAGGAGTATGATCGTTACATGTAGGTCCCCTTGCAACCACCTCTCCCTCTCTCTCTCTGCATCTCATTCCTCATTTTGACGTTCTTTCTTGATATGGATTATTATTCCATGGGTCCTCGTGGAATCACCTCTCTCTCTCTCTCTCTCTCCCCCCCCCTCTCTCTCTCCCTCTCCTCTCGTTCGCTCCCTCTTCGTGCACTTTTGTCTTGGCTTGGGAGAAGATCATCGCCTGCTGCATATTGCATGTACACACACACACACACACACTCTCCCTCTCTCGTTCGCTTCCTCTTCATGCACTTGTCTCGGCTTGACAGAAGAACCTCCCCTGCTGCATGTACATTCTCTCTCTATCTCTCTCTCTCTCTCTGCCTCTCATTCCTCATTTGACGTTCTTTCCTGACATGGATTTTGCGATGACAGGACCTTGAGGTTCTGACGGACGACGCAGCTCGCCAGCTTCTTCCACGGTTTTCTAACGCGGGGTGGCCTTCTCCATCCACGCTCTCTCTCTCTCTCTCTCTCTCTCTCTCTAGTGTGGCTACTGTTCTCTCTCTCTGTCGCTCTTGTATTAACCAGCTACCAATAAATTGACTCGTGGCGAGCTCGCTCATCCTATCCTTCCATTCATCCGGATTTCTCTCACGTGGGCGTTTCAGAACGATCCCTTTTCCGGGTGACTCGAAACCCCTCATTTTCCGGACGGTCAACCGGATTCATCCCCTTGATACCTCCCTCCGCCCAACCAACTTAAGCGTGACTAACAATGAGAAGTGCGAGCCCATACACATGACAACCCCTAGAACTCTCTGACGTATGTATACCGATAGTTGACTTTCGAGGATCTGACTGTCAAGACCCCAAGAGGGTTCCGAAAGCTCAGACTAACATGGCCAAGGAGCAAGTTCGCCAGTAGATTATCGATCTAGCCCAAAGACTGCAGTAAAAGAAGATCCTCGGTGGGCAACTACCCAACTAGGGGTTCAAGATAAATCAAAGGATCATACCATATACGATATAAGTTTCACCTGTACAATATCACAAAACTGCTGAAGAAAGTATAACCACAAAGTTCAAGACAGGAGCTGTTGAGATGGGCGTCAGAAGATCATCAAAGACTGAACCAACCTTTTTTTTTTTTTTTTTTTTCTCTCTTTAATTATTTTTCACAATGTTCAGAGGAAGGGGAATTATTAGAGCCAAGGACTCAGGTATCAAGCCCTTTCTCCTTTGATTTCTGACGAGTTCACATCTACAATGCCAGATTCACTGAACTGAACCCATGAAGAAAAGAAAAACATATACCTTGATTTCTATAAGGAGAGACGCTGACCATCTGTACAAATACAAAATGGGGTTATGAGCATCCACTGGACCACACTATGGCGTGCCAAAGCTGTAGCCCACATGCTCTTGGGCGATGAACAGGAGCTGCTTCCGCATGGCAGCCAGGGACGGGTAGGCAGGCAGGCACAGCCGGTAGAAGCAGGTGTGCGATGTCGGCAGGTGGTCGAGGGAGTCAGGACTTCGGTATATGTACAGCTTGGAGCCCAAGCCACTGAAGCCATCCAACGGCAAGAACTTCACCGAAGTCCAGAAGAAGAGGAGCGTCCTTTGCTGGTCTGTTGACATGCCCCCCACAACCTGACCAGAGCTCGAGGAGATCAGCAGATTGCCTAGAACAATTTGCATTCTATATTTGCTTGATTTTAATTAACCGAAAGTCTTGAGTAAATATCTTGCCACAAGAACAAACCTTTTTTTAAAAAAAAACCATGCTGACAATATAAATCATATGTTAAGGAAAAACCTGCACTGAAATCCATCTGCAAAATTCTATGGCTAGAAGCAGTCACCCACAAGCCTGATTTAGCAACTTTACCAGTACTATAATCAAGTTTGATCTTCAGAGATGCGGTGTAGATTTTGATATTCATTTGCTGGTTGTATTTTTCTGGTTGTCTGTGTCGATGACATCATCATCACCAGAGATGATCATGAAGTTAATTCACGACTCAAATAATTCTTACCAGGTCAGCTTGCCACCAAAGACCCGATAATCTTGAATATTCCTTGGGGATTGAGATTGCTTGATCCAAAAGAGGTACTATATTCAACCAAAAAAACTGTCCTTGATCTCTTAGAAAAAATAGGAATGCCAAGTATGAAACCAATTGCTACTCCCATGGATCCTAACTCGAAATCATCTCTTGATGAAGGAACCATATTGGAGTATCCAGGGAGATACAGATGACTAGTTAGTGAATTGAATTATTTAACCATCATCTAGCTAGATAATTCTTTTGTTACTAGCGTGGTGAATTAGTTTATGGAACAACCACACATTAAACATCTGGAGGCTGTTACGAGAGTATTGAGATACCTTAGGAGAAATCTAAGTAAAAAACTGTAGTACAAGAACAATGGTCATCTCAGAGTCTAGGATTTTTCGTATCTTTCTTGATAAAAATCTTGTTTCTTAGAGTAAAAAATAATCTATGGTCTCAAGATCGCGTGTTGAATTAAATATACAAGACAATGGCACATATTTTAAGCGAACTTATATGCATCAGACATCAGAAAAAACTTGGCTTTCCTCATAAAGAGCTTATGGAGCCCAAATGTGATAGTCAGACAGCAATCTATATCACCTCTAATTCGAAATTTCATAAGAGGACGAAGCATATTGAAGTTAATTGTCGTTTCACAGAGAAAAACTTCAGGCACAGCTTATCATTACTGTGCCTGCCGAATCGAAAAAACAACTCGCTAATACATTCATCAAGCCATTAAATGGCCACTGGGTTGATTTTTATGTGACAAACTAAGAGCATATAATATATAGGCTCTAGTTTGAGGGAGATTGTTAGAATATATCTGTCTAGGCCAGATACGCCCATCTAGTTGTCTTAGCCCATTTGGAGTCTAGCACAAATACGAGACTCCACGATTAGGACAAGTCGAGTTCTCTATTCTGTATTCCCATCACCATCTCTCTCCGTCTCCTCCCTCTTTCTCTCATTCACACCTCAATGAGTATCAGGACTCTTACACGACTCTTCAGAGTAATTGTAAGTATGAAAGAATCTTATGCCAGGTAGCTAACAAGATGAAAAACAGCGTACTTCCCAAATGAAGTTTAACTCACGTTATTTAACTATTGAGAAAGAGTAATCTATATGCTGGTGACTGAGTTAATGTATGTATATATACCTAATAATACATCTAGGTCAACCCATGTACTAGATTACCAGTTTGGTGGCCTTGAGTGCAGCGTTATGCATTACTCGATCAAGTTGGGGAGGCAGGGAGCAAGAAAAAATTATCCCTAACGAGCACACCATGATGAAGGGGTTGCATGCACATTTCCAATTCTCCTCTCATTTTCTCCATCTTCAGTTTTCTCCATAATATTAGAGTAGATTTTTGTCCTCTATTTCTAGCCTTGGTCTCATTTGTCTTGTCTAGACTACAGCATGCAATACTGATCATCACGGATGGCACTAGATGAGATTGTAGACTTTTCTCTCCCTCCTACACATTACATCTGAAAAAGTATATTTTCGCGCTAGCAACTGCGGCGGACAACTGCTTTGAGGATTTTGTCTGGATTTTTCTCACGCAGGTTTGCTTGGATTGCCCTATCCGAAGTTGCTTTGCCAAAGAGCATCTTGACCAAATATTCCCAGCCTCCTGTCAACAACCAAGCACCTGCATCTCCACCATCGAACGCCACAGTTTGGCACTCCCCTTTAATCTGGACAGGATCCATCTAAGAGCTTTCTCACAAGCGAAGGAAATATCATTTTCTCCTCTATCAACACCTTGGTCCCCTATCAACACAACGAGTTCCCTACAAGACAATTCCACCTGGACTGCTACATGAATGAAGTAAGTGGCCAATCGACTTCTGATTTCTGCGGAGCATGTACATAAACTATAAATTGACATGAGATTAATCAGGTCAGATATAGAAAGCTTCCACCTGATCTTCATTCCTTAGCAGTTTCTGAATCGCAACACTGTGACCAATCAAAGTAGCTATGTTCCATCTGATTAAAAAAATAGAATCTCCCTGTTTCTTGCTATGTTACATCTAACTTTTTGAAGAGCTAAAGAGTTTAATTCATCAGATTGATTCCTTTCCACCGTTAGAAAAAATCTACTAAATGCATGTCTTGTACAAAAACGGGCAAGATCTTTTCTTAGCCTTAAGGACGAAAGAACAACAAATTTCCATGGCCTTCAGAAAAATGCATGCTTTCTACAAAAACGGGCAAAATATTATCTTAGGCTTAAGGACGAAAGAACAACGTCTTAAACTTGTTGTCCATGAGGAAAATTTGAGCTGATGATTGGTCGATGAGTCATTTCCAAAAGAAGTTATAAGAAGGAGATCAAAAAGTATTAAATATTTGCAGAGTCATGGTGAAGAGTTCTCCAATTATCCAAGATGCTAAGCATCAGATAAATCTCCAAATGCAAAACTATCTATCAATTTATCAAAACCAGAGAACAATGACTTTTCAACTTGAAGAGAAGACAAAAAGATTGACTATGGAAGCTCTATCTAAAAGATTTTCTCTATATGCACAACACATTTTTAATAGAGTGAGTCTTAGAGTTGAAACTTTGTTCTAATACTACTTGATGTAATAGAGGTTAGAAAAATTAGAAATCGTCCTTTGAATCTATAAGGAACGGAATCTGAAATCTTTGAATCCTCAAAGAATATAATGAGTCATCTCTCAAGGAAGATCAGAAAACGCCCCCAATCTATTGTTTTGTAACCAGAAAAAGGAGGCTATAGCTTTTATATTGAAGTCAAATGAAAAAGAGAATAAAAAAGACATTTATTTTACCTACTCATAGAAAACCTGTTTTTAGGCCTAATGTGTCGCATAACAGAAATCTTAGTTGGGCCTTTCAGGTTTTTCCCATTTTGGGCCTTCATGAGTTTAATATTTTTGCCCATTTTAACTGTTTGGGATTTTCAGGTTGCACTTCATGAGTTTGGGCTGCAAAATTCTTGTCCATTCTTGTCCATTTAGACCGATTTCTAATTTTTCTAAGTACTACAATATAAAATGGTATTAGAACAAAGTTTCAACTCTAAGACTCACCCTTGTAAATATGTATTGTCCATGCAGAGGAAATCTTGCCAATTCAATCATCTTTCAGGTAGAGCTTTGATAGCTAATATTTTTGTCTTCTTTCATAGTTGAAAAGACATTGTCCTAAGGTTTGGATTTATTGGTGGATAGTTTTGCATCTGAAGATTTATTTCATGCTTAGTACCTTGGATAATTGGAGAACTCTTGCCCATGGCTTCAACAATGCAAATATTTAATGAGAGATATGGAGCCCTTGAATCCACAAGGAATATAATGAGGGGAGATAATTTCAACAGTAAAACAGAGTCCCCATTTTACAACCTGTGGCTGCTTAAAAAACTACCAAGTAGTTGTAGATCCATTAAAAGTACAATCAGTAACAAAAAACCTGAAGAAAAAAACCCTAAGGAAAACATCCACTAAATGAAAAAGTTTTTAGACCTAATGCGCCACCTAAAAAAATCTGAGTTGAGTCTTCAATGTTTTAAATTTTGGGCCTTTATGAGCTACATCTTTTGAGCAACTTCAACCATTTGGGACTTTTGGGCCATATTTATTTAGCCTTTTGCATTTCCTGAATATTTGTTCCACAATGATTTGTTATACTTGTTTGCTCTTGATTCATCTTTCCTCCATTCCTTTTTTATCCTTGAATAATCTAAAAGTATTACATACAGTGGATGAAAAAAAGAGAGAGACCTAAGGACAAGTGAAACTTAGGATAGTTGGGATCCTCTAAAAGGGAAGAAACTAGTTGGGTAAAAGCGGATCTTCACAATCAGATATCAAGTAGATGCAAATGGAATAAAGCAACCTAAGCTAAGGATGTTCCTTCCACACTGCAGTCTATTAAAGTGACTTCGTTTAGGTGGCTGAAATGCAATCCGTTTAGGTGTACTTGAACTTATAAAGACCTAAACACAGTTAAAAGTAAGAAACAGGCAACTATATACCATAGGCAGTGAGCAGGTTTGCGGTGACTTAATTGACAAGTTTTGATTCAAACTCCATGTTATTCACATAAATAACATTTTCTTATCAGCACTATTAATGGCAAGCAGGAAACAGTAGGTGCCAATATTAATTCAAGCAAAGTTCATCTAATGAGGGAAATAGGGAGTGATATCAAGCAAACTCCATGAATAGTACACTGTAGTAGGTCTCTAGGATGTATCCAGATAAAAATGTCCTGGTATGTTTCTTCTTTCTCTTTTCTTTTCGACTTCATACACTAATGGTTTTTGTCAATTTTATTTGTTGAGCAGATATATTTGAATAGAGCCACTTTCTGAAAGTTATTTGCAAGTGCTTGTACAAATTTCCAGTCAAATAGAGGGACAAAAACATCAAAGAGAAGGTAAAGAAACAAAAGAATTTAAAGTGATTCGGTGAAACAAATGTTTAAGGAGCCCTCTGGACACGAATTTTAAGGGGCTATAACAAGTGTCTTGAGAAACCTAGACTTTACAGATCAACTTGCAGATATGTTCACCAAGTTCCAAAATGGTCACGAGGTGTAATTTCTTAACAAGCTAGGTGCATATGATATATATGAACTAGCTTGAGGGGGGCTGATGAATACTGTGCACTATTGGATCATGGCCATATTGACCCATCTAGATCCCTTGAGACTCTGATATAAATACGAAAGTGTCAATAAGGGTTGAGTTATTTGAGTCTCTTCTTAGAAGACTCTCATGTATAACATAGCTAACCACAAAACTAATATGCAACAAAAAATCATTGGCATTCTAACCACTATTTCTGAAAATCACGATAACTAACCACGAAAAGCAACCAAAACAATTATGGGGTTATCCCATATTAGTTTTTCCAAAAAGGTAACACCATACCCAATAGAAAAAGAGAGAAACCATTGTAAACTAACAGGAAATGAATAAAGTCGAAAACATAATGGATTAACTATACTCCAAGATAATTGACATTTCAAATGGACTCCTCTAAAGAGAAAATAAGAAAACCACAGAAATATTAAAGAAAGAATTGCAACTAGAGATTTCGTATGGGGGATATACACAGAGAAATAAGAAAATTTCCAATATGATAGTATGCTCTACCTTCCAAAACCAGCAAATTTGACGATCTGATGCCTTGTAGCCCTTGTACTCAGTATGTCTCTTCCAATCCTTTATGCATATAGTTCCATCACTTCCACCCAACATGCGATCAAAATCCTCAAGTTCCAAACTTCTGAAAAACAGCTTTTGAAACTTTGAGTCGGAAAGAATGTCACCGAAACCTTGTGAAAAACGGTCAACCTGTTCAGAGATACAGGTAACGAAGCAATGTTGTATCATAAGATCAACATAATTCTGCCTATTCCTACTATTCACTATTATATCCTTCCCTCCAGGGCAGAGCTCCACAATTCTCCGAGATCCCAACTCTTCAACTTCTCTGACAAATGTCAGTCCTAAGACATCAGAATCCAAGAGATCGGCATCCATTTCCAAGATCTTCTTGCAACTGTTAAATAAGCATGGATCCGCATCCCGTATATCATCCAAAGAGACGTGCTTCCCAGATAGTTGTAGAAAGAAGATACGATCAAAGACAATGCCAACTTGGACTTTGTGCATCAAAGCTAATGCAATCACCCTCCCACAGAAGCTAAAGTAGTCAAGATGTAGCGGATCCACAATAGATGCTGAAGACATGAAAGATTACAGTCAGCGTTCTGCTAGATAAACATCCAGAAATGAACTGAGATTAAACAAATGTCAGGGATATGATGACAGAATAAAATTTGACCAAGTCCTGTCCATGATATAATTCCATTCATACAACAGGTTGTGGATGGCATGATGCTAGTTCGTCAGGGCATGAGTAGTAGTGGGCCGTATTGGTTCAATAGGAATAGAGAAACACGTCTTTTAGCAAGAAATACGTCACATGTGAGAGCAAGATTATCAAGAGCACACCAGACGACTTCGTACAGCACAATGGGGCCAATTGCATACATTTTTGAGGAAGTTAGACAGGCTTCATAGAATTTCATCCATAAAGGAGCTTGCCTCAATCACCCACTGTCCAAAGAAATGAAATATTTGTGTTTCACATCCATGCTCTTCTATCAAACTGGAAGCAATTTTTTTAATGGAATGTTCAACCTGACCACATCTCTCCATGCCATAAGACTGATGTCCGCTTAGTTACACTTAATATCTCAAAATAAAAGGCATTTGGATGAACATTTCTATAAGATCACTGACATCCCGTACTTTTTACCATATATACGAATATTCCTGGCCAGGAGCAAAAAAGACTTTGAATTTATTTACATCGACGACTACCAATCTTGGGCGTCTTGAACATGAATATCCAAGAATTAGGTTGCCAAACAGAAGTGATTATAATATTCACGGAAAAAAATGTATATAAATGAGAATTGACTTGATCAATGAGTAAATCATCAGGGAACACAGTTCACAAGACAAAAGGTTATATTTTCCTAATTATGAGAACAAAAATACGATAAAAAAATACCAGGATTTGGGAAAAATCTACGGTGATCATTTGGGCATGCCACAAAAAGGACATTCTGCTTGTTAAAGATCTCTCGGCATAGCAAACAAAACCACTCCCTCAGGACACCAGGTCCAGTAGCTTCTTCGTTCTTAAACTCCATGAAAAGACCACTCTGTAATATGCCAGGCTCAGCATGGGCAATGTACTCAAAAGACTCGGTCAGTATATAAGACCTGTCAATAAGCATCTCATGGAGTTCATCAAAGTCGTCCTTTCCCTCAGGAAACATCAACATCACCAAATTCTTCCTAGATTCAAAGTCTGTCACGTCCCTATGCTTTAGAAGCCACCACAAACTCTGTCTACATTTTGCTCTCCTGATCAAAGCATTTAGTGGGATACGACGCTCCAATAGAACTGAGTGAAGTATCTCCCCAGCACCCTGAAAAATCTCTGAAAGATCATTCAACCTCGTCAACAAAAGAAGAAAAACTGACCATGGTGTCCACCAAATCTCACTCAAATCTTCCCCCTCGGTGGTTGAAATATCATGTATTTTCTTCAGGCAGCCGTCGACACCCTCCAAAAGCTCCATGAAAATGGCATGAAGCGATCGAAACCAGTCCTCATGCAATGTTTGACCGCTGTCATCACGTAGAGGTATTGGAAATGGCCCCAGCTGCCCCCATCTATCCTGTATCACCCTCTGTAACGGGGACAGGAAATTGGAAAACTCACCAAGAGACTCAGATAAGAGGGAGAACTCCCCAGGGGGCAAGCCCAACAGCAACCATTCAGATAAATTGGCAGACAATGTGCTCGCCAATTCATTGACAAAAGGAAATATCTCTTGAATGATGCTTTGAGACCTCTTGGAACCAATGTAATTGATGTCCTCCACCAAGCTTGTTGATTCCAAAAGCGAACTAAGGGTCCTCCGGCAAGATATATAAAGCTTGTCCTTCTTACTGACCGCGACTGACAGTAGTCTACAGAACTCCAAAATAATCGGAAAGCATTGTGCGTGCGTGCACCTCGGCAAGAGCTCAGAGTTAATATTCAGAAAATGCTGGATGGACCTTTCTGCATGTAACATATAAAAATCCTCTGGCGAGGAAGCATAAAGCATAACCAATGCCGCAGGAGCCCCAGAGAGGAGAAAGACATTGAGATGCCCCCCTGTCCTCTCGGTATCCTCCTTGGGAGTCATCTCCAAGAAAACCTTCACCAGACCCTCGATAAAATTGGATCCCTTGAGATCAGGGTTCTGGGTATTGTCTGGCTGGTTGATATTATTTCTGAGGCTGAAGACAGCGGAGACAATGTCGTTCGCCACCATCCATGAACCAGGGTACTCTGTGCTTCTCATCCGTCCAGTCAGCTGGAGGCAGGAGTCGTTCTGAACTCCACACTGCGCAAGGGTGCGGTCCAGTTGAAGCTGACGGCCCTTGAAGATCAACCTCTGCTCAGAGATGGGAATCCCCGTTACCCCCCTGATCTGATCGTGGACGAGCTCTACGGTATCATCTGGGAGAGCATGGATCACAATCGTCCGCGAGAAATCCCGGACGAAGAACTGAAGAGCGCCGGAGCCCGAGTCTGCTGTCTCTCTAAGTATACCAGATATAGTATTGGTACTGCTACCGCTGGTTCTGATGCAGGAAGTCGACAGCCGGTCGCAGTCCTCTTGAGTACCATCGTAGGAGACGACTGAGAGGCCGGTTGTATCAAAAGTGCTTAGCTTGCGCATCCTCAGAAATAACAGACCATCTCCAGGGCAACCCCCTGGTGAGAATTCCTCCAGCTTTCGTTTGCAAGGGAGAAGGGCCGGGGAAGGGAAGTCCGAGCTCCGTTCGAACCTCCGGCGGAGGCAGTCAATTGCGGCAGCAAGAGACGGCGACTCCACTACAGACATGGCCCTGGGTCACGGCGGCGGCGCCGTCTTAAGAGGGATTTTCCCCCTCCACCCGATATGATAATTGAGGAGGAAGCAGGAAAACCTGCGACGATGAACAGAAACCCTAACCCTCCGGGGAGATAAACGAAGGCGGAAGCGCGATGAGACGAAATCGCCCAAAAGGGAAAACCAGAGGATGCATTTCACGGCAATATGATGAGGAGAAAGGAAAACTGGAGAGATGGAGTCCCCACAGTGAGAGAGGAAGCAGAAGATCCCTCGATCGATTCCTCCGCGTAGCTCCGACGCCGCCTAGAGTGAAATAGCCGAGGAGGAGGGAGAACGGAGAACTTCCTCCGAATTCTTCTCCTTGTTCTTCTTTCTCCCCTTCCTACTCGGGACCTTCCCTCGAGAAGTTCCTGCCACGTCGGCACTGTTATGATCGAATCGCCATGGAAAGGGTTCTGGTCACCTCCGGTGCGATAAACCAGCACCCGCAAAGCGGTTCCAATACCTTTCTCAATCCACCTTCTACACCGGTAACTTGTTTTGCGCAACAATTTAATCGCGAACGAATCCCTCTCTCTCCCTGCCTCTTCCCTCCTCTCTTTCCTCTAACTTTCTTTCCCCTTGCCTCCTCCCTCTCTCTCCCCCTGGCCCCTCCCTCCCTCTCTCTCGTCTCTAACTCTCTCTCTCTCTGCCTCTTCCTTCCCACACCTCTCTCTCCCCTTGCTCCTTTCTCCCTCTTTCTCCTCTCTAGCTCTCTGTCTCTCTGCCTCTTCGTTCCCACCACTTTCTCTCACCTTGCCTCCTTTCTCCCTTCCTTCCCACTCCTCTCTCTCGCCTTGCTCCTTTCTCCCTCTTTCTCCTCTCTAGCTCTCTCTCTCTCTGCCTCTTCGTTCCCACCACTTTCTCTCCCCTTGCCTCCTTTCTCCCTTCCTTCCCACTCCTCTCTCTCTCCTCCCTCTCCCCTCTCTAACTAAATATATGCATCTCTCTGCCGCTGCCTCCGCCCTCCTCCCTCCCTCTCTCTCCTTAGTAAGGAGCCCTTCCTCGTGCGATGCGGTATCAACTTGTGATGGACCAATCGATCCTCATCTGGGTCGTAATCAATTTGCCCCTTCTTTAATATCCTCGGGAGGACAGATCATTTGCTTCTTCATCTCCATCCCCGTGAGATCCAGAGAACATTCTGGAGCATAAAATCGAGCAAATGATGTAATAGCTTGCATCCCCTCCCTTCAGCCAATCTAACTCAGGTTCCTATGGATACACCCCCGTAAGATTTTTCATCATCCCCCTCAGCAAGAAACATATTAAAGAAATGATAGAAAAATATCCATATCAAATGATAGAAATCATGTGATGACTCTATGCAAGAAAATATTATCAAACTCTATTTTTCGGAGTTGCAGCCATCCCATGGCATCTTTCATCGTCTCGTTGGTATCGATTCTAGTACCTACAGGTGAGTCTGAGCTAGTACACCAAAAAGTATACGCAGACAAAATACCGACGAATATGATCTCCCTTTACACAAATTCGAACCTTGAAGTCCGATCAGGACATATCTAGGAGAGCGTTGCAGAGAGATGCGGCACTGGACATGGCAACTACAAAGAACATCACCACCTCACGAGGTTCTTTTCAATAGAGGGAGCACTCATGAAGTGATCGTAACCGCCAAGTCCATGATTCAGGACCCCTGACTCAACCGGAGAGCCCGATGGAGTTGATCTCCGGCTTCGGTCAGCACCCGTCTCCATGGACGCCCGCACCAGATCCGCCTTAGTGGTCTCTGGGAGCCGGAACTAAGGAACCTGCCGCCACTCCTCTCTACCCTGTGCCATGTTTAGTTCTTTTCCTCCTCCTCCTCCTCCTTGCTCCTCTGCCCGCTAATCTAGAGGATGCGGCATCCTCCACTTCCACCTTCACCTCCTCCTCCACCCCCGGGAGGTCAGCCTTGAAGATCTGCGCCTCCGGAGTCTTCCTCAAGTCCACACGAGCGTCGGCCAACGCAGATGTCTCCGAATCCTCGCCGCGGCGTGCTGGCGCGGAGAGAGAACTGTTGTTGCAAGGGAATACCTGGAAAGGATCCCAAGCATCTACAGAAAAGGGATCGAAGATCCTGCTGCCGCGGCTACCAAAGAGGGCTGGAATCAACGACATGCCTCCGTTGGGAGAAATACGCCGAAGAGAATGATTTCATGGAGCGAGACATGGTACAGTTCTTCGGCCGGTGGAGCTCGGACGCTTGCCTTCGCTCTGCTGTCCTGCCTCTGCTCGTCGGTGTGAACTGGAATCCGAAGGTGATGGCGAACGGATAGGCACATTCAAATTTTTTGTCGCGCCGCGACCGAAGATCCTAGTATGTGAAAGACAGAGCCAGAATGACACTTGGCAGCCATCTATTGAGTCAAGAAATTTACAGAAAAATATTTACGAAAAAAATAATACCCTAAAATCTCAAACATACTCCAGCTATTACAGAAAAACCCTCCCAATTTCACATTTTCTTTTCCTCCACCATCAAAGAGTTCTAATAACCTCCGAAACTCGTTCGTCATTTTTCTTCAAAATTCAGGGATATTATTAAATGCATCTATTATCAATTTTAGACGAGTTGATCGGGGAGATCCGATAAAGATGTATTTCCCAATAAAAAAAAATTAAATGAGTCGATAAACTGAAAAATTATATTTCAGAAATAAATATATATTTCTTAAAGCGAGCCCCCTTTCTCTCGTGTGGCTAGAACTATTATTTTTAATATATTTAAATAAATAAAAACCCTATCGAGAAAAAAATTGAGGAAATTATAAGAATTAGAGCAAATAATGAAGATTAGTGGGTACCACTCATTAGAATAATTAGGGAATAATTAGCGGGTAGAACGGATAAGACTTCCAATGTTTTGTGGGGCCGAGTTCTTGAAATTTCCGTGAATGTAATTTTTTGTGGATTTATTTAACCCAAAAAATATGTGGCCTGGAGGGAACAAGCTTCTAGACTTGCACGTCCACGTCGCTCTTCGGAACCACAAGTAATGGAAGGGAGACTAATTTATTGACGTCATCTGATCGAAGATTTTCGACGATGGGGCGATCTCCGACGTCCATCCAGTGGTCCTTTCTCTTATAAATTACGGCCTTGCAAGATTTTTTTACGACGATCTTCTGCTCCGTCTTCTTCTCTCTGGTTCTACGTCCGCGGAGTTTCCTGTGAGGAGCGATGGCGCCGGTGGCGAGATTCTCCGGTCGCCTGAGAGGGAGCAGTCTCTTCGATCCCTTCGCGCTGGACATGTGGAGCCCCTTCGAAGGTTCCCCGCGCAGCGGCGGCGGTGGCGGTGCCGGAACGACGTTCTCCGCCGGCCCCGGCCCAGACGGCAACGGGACCGGCTCTCCGACAGCGGACACGGAGACTGTCAGGGGGAGCTCCGGCGGCCGGCGACAAGCTCCAGAGAGAGCCTCCTCTGCCGGTGAAGGCTCGTCTTCTCGCTGAGAGAGGAGATGGGAGGTGCTTCCTCTGGCTTGCCTGGATGACGTGAGGATGAATCTTGTTTACTTCTAAACGCCGGTGACTTGTGTGCTTGTCTTCTTCTTCGCCAGAAGTTCATGAGCGCATGTAATCCCCCTATAATTAGTAAATTAAATGATAATTTCTGTAAATTTTGTTAGAATCTGATCTAACCGAGCCCCGGCACCGATCGTGTGGATGATTTCGATCTACTTGTGGTCTTTGAACTTTGTGAAAGAAAATCTCGAGTATAACACATATGGACATCCTCAAATGGTAAAATCTCGATCCACTGGATCTCCCCCTGTTCCTTCCGTTCTTATTTGGGACCCCCTCTGTAACAACAGATTAGTGAGGGAGAGTGAATGAAGCGTGGAGGCGCATTTCGATCGTGATCTCCGACGCGATTTAATTAACAGAGGATGTCAACTCTGTAAACAATCAAGCAAATAGATATTTCTCTGGCCAGAAGGAAATCGTCTAATGGACGAAGAAGAAGAAACAAATCATACCCTCCGAGGAATAGCTTTAGATTATTCAAGAAACAGAGCGTGAAACAGAGTGGACTAGATATCACTCTGGATTTACAGTGAAAACGCATAAGATTCGTAAGTCACGTAGAAAAGATAACGCTGAACATCTCTACCGAAGGACCCCTGAACTCAGCCGGAGATCTCGATGGACTTGACCTCCGGCTTCTTCACTTCCTCCTTGGGAACGGTCACGGTCAGCACCCCGTTCTCCATGGACGCCTGCACCAGATCCGCCTTGGCGTTCTCCGGGAGCCGGAACCGCCTCAGGAACCCGCCGCTGCTCCTCTCCACGCGGTGCCACCTGTCTCTCTTCTCCTCCTTCTCCTTGTTCCTCTGCCCGCTGATCTGGAGGATGCGGCCCTCCTCCACCTCCACCTTCACCTCCTCCTTCTTCACCCCCGGAAGGTCGGCGGTGAAGACGTGAGCCTCCGGGGTCTCCTTCCAGTCGACGCGGGTACCGGCGAAGGCGGAGGTCTCAGAGTCCCACCCCCGGCGCGAGAGGGAGAGGGAGTTGTGGTTGTTCCCGAAGGGGAATCCCTGGAAAGGATCCCAGACATCCAGAGAGAACGGATCGCAGACGTTGGTGCTGCGCCTCCCGAAGAAAGCTGGGATCAACGACATCTCTGTGACGAGAGAAAGAAATCCGGAAGATTGACGAGAAACAAGATGAAGGCACACGATTCGGATTCAAAAAGCTCTGCAGTTTGGCGAGATCAGAGGAAGAGGATGATATATTTATAGCGAGGGTTTAGAAAATCCAGACTATTTGAGATTCTTCTACCATCATCTCGAAGATTCTAGCATTCTCTCGATAAATCTCTGCATTGGGCAGCAGCAGAAGCTCGAAGGGGCCCATCTTCCAGGTCAGCAGCCACAGGAGCAAAGAGCAGATAGGTGGCACGATTTCAAGTTCCAGCGAACCAGCGTACCGTCGGGAGTTTGTAGGATTACGTGTGACGCTAGGTTAACGTAAAGAAATAAATCAAATAATAATTAAAAAATTCTTATTCAGCTGTTCCTCTTCTGTTTAATATTATATTGCAATTTCCAAATCTTAAGCAATAAACCCATTATTGCCTAGGTCTCCAGCCTTGCATTGCGCTAATGTCTGATAAAATAAGAGGACCGATGGTCTACATGAAAGGGAAATAAACACCTATAAGCTAAGCAAGAGCTTACTAAAATTTACAATACTAAATATAATGGTCTAAATACAATGCTATAATATGAAATTGAAAGGGATAACCATAGTTATATTGTAGGAGCTCAGGTATGCTATGCACTAATGCTGCATGCCTCTACATATATATTTTCATATTTACTCTGCCACCTCATGTTAATAGCCATTGAGTTTCATGAGACACTGATAATTATGCCATCTCATACTAGTAAAGTAATCCAGCTCTGCAACAAATGAATGTATATAAACCTACATCATATTTTGTCAAAGGCATGTCATAGTAGGCAGCATGCGTCACCTACATGCACTTCATCTTGTGAGCTTCACAAATGCCTTTTGTAAACCTCACTTTGACAGAGTAATCTTATATGCCAAAGTCAAATATTAACCTCTATGCACCATGCCTATGTGCACCAAGCTTTTTCATGTATGCTGCATTATGTTGCATTGTAATGATGAAGATCCTATTTTCAATCCTTTGCAAGATTCAATTATGTCAAAATTAGAAACTGCTAGACTCTAAAATTCGTGTGTATGTTTCTAGTCTCCTTGTGAGTTGTTCTAGTATATTTTATCAGTTTGTCCCACGTCACTTTTGCTCTTTGGTCATATGGCTTGAGCACCCACTGTCAAGGTACCATGGAATTTCTTCCAGCTAGAGAGACCTTTGAAATAAATAAGATTTATCTCAAAATGGAGATCCACAAGAAATCTATATTTCTACTTTTAATTATTTATAATAACTTTTGGGAACTCAGATTTCTCTAATTTTTGATTTTTCTGAAATCCTATTATTTTCTCTAAGGTTTAGTCGTTTATAAAATTGCCTAATTGTTGTTGAGATTAATTTTTGACCTTTTTTAACACATTTCAGAGTGTGACTAATTTTTCATTTAGAGTTCATATAAATTATAGATGAGCATGTAAAACTAGAAATATTCCTACTCATATATTTTTCTTTACAAAGAAAAATATGATGGCTACGAGTTTTTTGGTTTCTAACTTTCTGTCCTTCTCACCCAACCATGTAGAATATTCTACTCCACCTCTCTATTTATGTGCCTTTGATGGATCTTGATTAGTTTATCTAATGATTTCTGACTATAATTGAATTTTGGAAGATAGTTTTCTAATTTTATTTTCCCTTTTTCTACTATTTTCATATCATTGTCAATCATTTTAACATAACTATTTCTCTAAAGTTTTTATAATACTATTTTCAGCTCAATATTTTCTCTAGATAGTTCATCAATTTTAAAATTCTGACTTTCCATATACTCTGGTTGGTTCCTACTTTTTCATTAATATTTCTAATTTATTCCTTCAAATATTTATTCTCTTTTCTATCTTTTTTATATTTTTTGTTTCCCTAACTCATTTTGGAAATCAGTAAATAATGGATATACTTTTTCTCTAAATGGTTCATCAAAAGAAAATTCATTTTAGAACCATTTGCTGCAAAGCATATATTCGATTTGCTTTCTTCAAATTCCAATGAAGACTCATCTTTATCACTCTAGGTACCAATCATTGCCTTCTTTTTCCCTTTTTCATCCTTAAATGTTGGGCAATCAGCCTTAAGATGACCAGGTTTTCTACACTAAAATTAGAAGAGAATATTTGTTCATTTGTCGTGAATCACCTATTCCCAAATTTATTAAACAAAATTTCTGGTCAACACAGCTATTTTTTCTACCTTCTGTTCTCCTAATCATCATAGGCATCTATAACTTCAGCTGATTTTAGAGCAAAAATTTCCAATTTGATTTTTCTATCCTGACTTCATCTTGGCCCAAACCATTTAATAAGTCAATAGTGATCCTAATAGGTTGTTTCAAGACAAATTTGTTAACTCCTTAGTTGACTCAATGGTGGTGACTTTGGTTCTCTAATGTGGTGACATAGACATTAAAATATTTCAATTCATATTGGCAAAAGGGTACACTGTTCAAAAATTTCTAAAATCATCCAAAATATCAGTAAATGTATCAAAGATGTATGAAACTGTCACATTCTCACTCATTGAAACATCTCCTTGTGATGAACTAGTTGACATATTTTAAGATGCCTTAAACTCATAGCTCCTTCATGAATCACTTGGAAATTTATCATATTTCTTTTGGAGATTCACATGTTAAAACTTGATTGAACTCCTTAGCATCTAGCACACTGATCAAAAAACTCCTAGATCTAGTATTTATGAACAAAATCATCCTTTGTTGTTGAATAGATTCAAATTTATTGACTACTAATGGTTCATCCATAAAAATCTCCAAAAATTGAAAATCCAATTCCCAAATAATGATTTCTATTTTGTCTTTTCCAAATATATAATTTGATCCATTGAATAGAGGCAATATGTGAACTAAACGTCTATGTTATGCCTTGAGGTAATGACCATTTTAAAAGGTAGGCTTTGATACTATTTGTTCAATTTAAGGCCACAAAGTTCAAGAGGGGGAGGGGGTGAATTGATCTAATTCTAATTTTTACTTTGGTCAACTATAATCAAGATATTGAGTCATCTTTTCAGCTCCTAAGTCATGATTTCCTAGACCTACTAATGAGACTCAAGGATTTTGAAGTAGTTTGGTTCCCTAGCTACACCCACTCTCGAAGACCAACCTTATTTGTGGGTTCCACTTAATCAAATGTCTCAATTACAACTATTGATTATTGGGCTGAACTCTCACAATTTTATCTCAAAATCATCTTTTAGAAAAGCACAAAGAATAAGAAAGAATTTTACTAAGGACATATTTTGGATGATGATGTTCAATTGAGGTACATCTAGAAATTCAATGAAGATGAAGATGATATAGCCTTGGTGATGAAACAAAATTGAGGGTCGTTGAAAGCCCCAAATCAGTTGATCAAAAAAAATTTAAATCACTAATTTATCAAATTAAAATACTAAAATGAGTAAGTACTATGGTAAGTTTGAAGTCTATCCACAAGAAAAGAGAATTAGGCGTTCCTTAGTTACTATATATATTGATTGATAGATTTAATTCAAACAAACTCAAAGAATAGATGACGGCGAGTAAGAAAAATTTTCGTCATCAAAGAAGGGAGAAATACAAGTTCAACAATGTAGAAGATGATTAAGAGAGGGATAACACTCAAAAATGAATTACAATACAAAATTAACATCATACCTCTATTTATTTAAATCTACAAAAGCTAAATTATTATTCACACTCGAAACGCATCAGACTTGGAGAAACTTGCCTCAGACATCTATATTTCACCAAGGCTGGGTGATTTTCTCTTCGAGTACACTTCTCCAATGATCTGAGTTGCGAATCAAAATGTGAATCAACTTGAACACATCAAGATTGATGTGGAACCTCAATGTAGTTTCATTCAAGCCAACTAAATGTCAAGACATTCAAAGTCAATTTTTTTCGCCCCTAAATGACGACTTAAATGTGTAAGTGTTTACACGAGAGGATGAGAATACACATGTAGGGCTGTGATTAAATGAGGGTATTTTTATCTTTTTGGCTGCGATAAAATCAAGCTAGAGTTAGTTTCTTCTTGAGTTGATCTGAAACATTAGATTTAAAGGTCTTGTTGGAGCCATAGGATCTTCCTTAATGTTGAGATCTACTATACTCTTGGTAAGTATGCTTCATTTGTCATTGATTGTGTAGACATTCTCGATGGCTTCCAATCTCCTCATTTGATGATGCTGAGTGTCAAGGCCTCAACCCTTGATTCTATCACCTCATCTCCACAGATCAGATCTTGTTTGTCAAAGCATATATCAACTTCTTAAAAATCATACAAATATATTAAAATTTTCTAAAATTCTTTCATATTAATAAAAAATCAGTTATGACTATAAAACTTAGAGAGAAATTCCAAAAGTTTACTAAAATATTAAACATCATGAAATACTCAAAAAAATAATAAATATTTATTTTTTAATATGATGACATGCTATCATGGAATACACTTTTCGTGTCATAATCAACATGTTCTCACTTGAATCTTGTATTTTTCTTTTCTTTTAGAAGTTAGCTGAAGGAAAAAGGTGTCTCTTCTTTGATTTAGTCAAGGATGATCACTCATCATTTGAATACGAATTTCAAATCATGCTCACAAATTCTCATAGAATTTTATACATAAAATATCAAAGAAGCTCTAAAGGTAATAGAGAGGTTAGAGGTGATCATTCATATTTAAATATTGGTTGGAACGACATTGCATTTATAAAGAAAAAAATTCAAAACCTTCCACATCTTTCAATGTCTTCCAATATCTATATTTCCAAAATAGTTATAAATTCAAGTAGTTGGAAAACAAATTTGTCCTTTAAGGATTCAAATATCTGCATAATAAATCAATATGGGATTCCATTAATATGAAACATTTATATTTAATGTGTATTGGTTCAGTCAAGTCTAGTAAGGATCCAATATCAATAAAATAGAAT